TTACAAGCACACACACATTGACGTAATAGCCTGCATGTTACTATGTAATTACTAAGATGCAGAAATCATTGCTAACTAAGGTTAAGGTATTCCACATATAACTCAAAACATATTATTGCTTTCCAGGAAATTATTTGTCAGCAACATAAAGATCTAGCCTAAAAACTGATAGAATGTGCAAGACTTTCATTACTATTAGAAAATAGGAAATAATTCAATAAACTTAGCAGCAACCACAGAGGAAGGCATGGGTGGCCGGGGTGGGGTGCAAAATGATCTGGTGTAAAGTTTGCACACACTTGCAACTGAGATGTGGCTTGTAGCAAAACACCACAATGCTGCTTTTGTCATTCTTATGAAACAGTAATTGCTATAATTAAAATATAGTAGACATGTTCAAGTCAAGTTCTAATGAAGTTGGTAATACATCACTTCTGATATTTGACAGATGAAAATTCTCATCTTGAGCCATAGTGACAAGAATATCAATCAAATAAGTATTTTTCAACTATCTCATCCTCTCACAAATTTAGAAGGTAGTGGAATTTATTCTAAATTCCCATCCAGAAAAGACAATTCCTACATAAAAGAAACTAAAAAAATTCAAGGATGGTTTCTTTTCAAAAATTCTTAGAATGCATCCATGGACTAATAACCTTGAATATTTTAAATGTTCTTCCACCCAGTGGGGAAGAAACTCTATAATTGAAAAGAGAAAATTATTAATAAAACAACATTTTAAAAAGTTGTTTTTAGAGAGGAAACCTCCAAAATTATAATGAACAAAATTTTAATATTTGAAATATTTTGCATGTGAAATGGATTGTTCAAACCTCATGAGAAATGTCCAGTCTATTCTAATCATACTGAAAACATCCTGAGTTTGAAGCAGTTCCATTCTGAGTTTGAAACCCTTCTGTATGATTAAAATTGCAACAAACCTATTTGTTCAAACTGTTTTGAACTTGAAACGGGGTGTTTGAAACTTGAAACATTTCAGCACTGAATTTTTTGCATACCACTTTCCAATATTAATAACTTGTGGTTAGGAAAAAATAACAGCAGAATATAGCAACATGTTGTACCACAAAAGTATGACAAATATGTTAGATATGCCAAGACTCTAGATTTCAGGTATATAATGAAACTCAGATCCTACAATTTTCAAATGGCTTTAAATCATAGTCTTGGCTTGATAGGGCCTAGAGATAAACCTACATAAATTCATTTAACAAAAAGGTTATAGCTGTCCAGTTTATGTTCTACAATCCATGCTTCAAGCATGGTAGTAACAAATTGTTCTAAGACTATATATTCAAATGCATCTTGAAAAGTCTGTATTTCCAGAGACAGCAAGCTGTCTGATACAGTTCAAGATGAACTTCCTCTCATTTGAACCTATATTATCCTTGAAACAGTTGTTGATAGGCTCCAGCATGGATGTTCAATGGTTGTTGTATTGCAGCCCATATTAATTTATGGTCAGCATTCATCTAGGGTAGAACACTGCTAAGAACTTTCAAGGCCTTCCCAGTCAGGTATGGAGGCAACCAAATCACCCATTCTTCTGGGCACCTATATCCTCATTTTGCCAGCTTTATTTTTAATGTGAGGCTGTGAAAAAAGAAAGTTCTGTATTGCAGAGCTCCAAAATATCTGACAAATGTCTGTGGAGATTCTCAGTCATCCAGGTCATAGTTTTCTCCAAAGGAAACTAGACTTTTTTTTCTTGAAGAAGAAGAAGAAAACATTTCACTTCTCATCCAAGAAGCTTCATCAGTTCTGATGGAGGGGGATGGAAGGATAGGCACTGACAGTTGAGACTCCATGTTGGGAGGATAGAAGGATAGCTTCTAATAGGATGGTGGGGAGGGGGGAGGGATGGAAGGATTATATTTCTTTGCATTCATCTGATTGTTAGCACTCTCTTGAGAGCTGTTGAGGCAACTTGGGAGTTTATTTGTGCCCTCAGGGTGCAATTGGTTATGAAATCTTCTTGGAACTGTTGCAAAGGCTGCGTTGTAAATCAAAGATAGGTGGTGCCTTATTTCTCCCCCTCTGTTGAGGGAGGGGTGTTCAATTCTAACATATATGGACTCTTTTACCCGTCTTTCAAACCAATAGTCCTCATTTTGGATAGAGTCCACATTTTGGCTACACAAGGTCCACATTTTGGATAGAGAGGATTATTTTGGACCCCATGGGCACAGATAACCCCCCCCAAGTGGCCTCAACAGCTTTCAGTGAGATGACTACAAAAATATATATAATCCTTCCATCCTCCCCTACCATTCTATCAAAACCTATTCTTCCATCTCCCCACTATCCAGTCTCAACTGTCAGTACCTATCCCTCCGTCTCCCTGCCAGAACTGATGAAGCTTCTTGGATGAGAAGCGAAACATTTTCTTCTTCCTCAAGGAAAATACAGTCCAGTTGCCTTTTGAAGAAAAAAAACATGTTTGTGATAGCTGATACACGCTACTGAAGCCTTTGCTCCTAATAGGCTCTTGTCTTTCTTTCTGATGCCTTGCATGTTTGTTTCCACCATTGTTCTTCATCATCCTGAGCTTCTTACTGTTATGTTGTGGCTTACAGAATGTATACAATGGAACTTACTTCACTCTTCTCAGCAGTCCAAGCCAAGACTTTTGAAAATAACATTCAAAATACAACATTTAACCAAAGAAGTAAACTAAATTAATAGAAGCAGTTTGAGGCTCTTGTACCAACAGTCTAAGAAAGTCTTTCAGCTGTCAGCCTATAAGCAATTCCTTACTTGACTAGTCCCTATTCCCTTCCTTACCTTCAGGGCTTTCAGCACACTCTGATTCTGCTACGGCTTATACTCACGGGTTGGTGTTTTTCCTTCACCACAATGAAGAATACCTTATTACAAAAACTTACCCAGTGTATGGGTTGATGATCTCCCAATGGTTCCTGTAAAAAGAATATATATGTTATTAAAGAAAAATCCAAAACACACAGAGAGAATAATTCAAGAACATCTAGTTTGAAGGTGAGCTACGTTTTGTGGAAGTTCTCTAAGTACTGAGGAATAACTGAAGTTTTCATAGATTTTAAAAATGACCTGGAAGGTCTTTGAAATATAGGTATTGTACCTAGGATAAATGACAAAATGACTATGCCTTTTATAAGTTGATTAATTGACTGTATTTCAATTTCCTATTCAAATAGCTTTCTTTTAACAAAATATATACATACAGTATATCCTTGGTTATAATTTTATATGTTGTGTTCTATTTCAAATAAAACTTTTTGTATGAAATTTGTTACAGCATTGTTTTTTCTTTTTCTTCTCAGAAATGTTTTTATAGTGGCTAATTAATTGTGTGTATTTATTTTGATGATGCTAGGAAGCAATAATAAAAATCCTAACAGATTTACAGAATATATTGTAAATGTATTTAAAAGAATAGGAAACAATAATTTCATGCATGATACAAACAGTTTGTATAGGACTGTTTTACCTCTTTAGGTATTGATTGTTATAAAATATTTATTTTATGTATTTATAAATATTACTAAAAATAACTTCCAGTTTATCGCATGGCTTACCAATTTAATGGGGCGAATTGACATAATAGTTTCACTAGTGCCACCCCAGTCCAAAAAACACTTATATCTTCCTTTCTCCAATATATATTGTTCTCCACAGAAATACTTCTGTTGATAAGCAACCCACCTAGATATAACATACAACAGACATTTTTAACACAAATCAAATATATATTAATAATCCATAAAACACCATAAAAGAACTCTGAATTTTTCATCTGTTCAACTTTCATGGTTTTTTTTTTAAAAGGTATTAAGTAAAATAGAAGAATAGAATAGAATAGAATAGAATAGAATAGAATAGAATAGAATAGAATAGAATCTGGAAGGGACCTTGGAGGTCTTCTAGTCCAGCCCTCCTTATGCATCTCTTTTGACCAGGTTGCTCTAAAAGTTTCTTGCTATACTCTTATTTCATCTTGAAAAAGGAATGGCTGATCCATCCCAATTCTGGTTCTCTAGGTATAATGTAATGTGAATTCCCAGAGCTTTAGGTTGGAAAATGCAAGCCAGAAATGGCAATTGCAAATAAATTGCTTAGTGTAGTGTTGCCAAGAAAACAACATAACATGTCCATGTAGTTACCAGTAGCCAAACTACACTTGAGAAGCAATTACTGAAATATAACATATACCATACATGGTGTTTCTATGATATATAAAGTGTTTCCAGATTCAATGAAGTTATAAGCATAAAAAGTTAAAACAGAACCAGGAACCCGTATCAAACTATAATACTGAATTTTTAGTTTCCAAGTGTTACATTTCAGAATAATGGGTTAATTGTTTGACAAACATTTCAATGTCATTTATGAAGTATGTAATATTTTATATCATGGCTAAATGTTTTAGTAAATCTAAGCTGTTTTTCTGATAAAAAGGGAGAAAAAATATTCTGTTGTTTATACGTTTAAGACTAAACCATGTACTCAAGTTCATCTTTTTAATATTAGAATCTATATATTAGCATATTAGAATCTATATATGCTATGCATATGCATGTGTATGTGATTTATGTTTTTATGACTTGATTATTCTGTGACCCTAGCTAAGCCCAGTCAGTCTTGTCTAAGTTAAGCAGGGATGGACCTGTGCAATACCTGTATGGGAGACATTCCCCACCCGACATCCTAAGTAATTAATTTAGATTAGAATGGGAAGTTGAAAGTTAGAATGGGGAGTTGAAAAATATTCCTGCAGAGGATTATAGCAAACCACTGCATAGTTGTATCTACAGGTAATCCCCGAGTTACGAGTGTTCACTTAATGCTTGTTCCAAGCTACGCGATAAGCACCCCCTAGTGCTTACGAGAAAGTCCCAAAATTACAAATATTGCAGCACCACGGCAGTCGTTCACCCTTACAAGCGACTGCAGACGCTCTGCAACATTCACCCTGGTTATTCCTCCCTCCCCACACCTGCCCCGGGTCTCCCGAGGAACCAGGCTTTCAATACTACCCTGCGAAGATAGAGGTCCTTCACTTTCTTGGCTGCTCCAGGCCTTCAGTGCATTTGCAGAGAATGGAGGCCTAAAATAACACAAGATCATGCGAGATCAGTGGGGCGAGATCTCACGGTACTGATCTTGTGTGATCTCGTGGTATTTTAGGGCTCTGTTCTCTGAAACAGAGCACAGAACCGAAGCTGGGGGACACTTCCATGTGCCTCCAGAGGCTGGATCGGGACGTCAGAGGCCTTTTCTAGGCCACTGCCACCCGGATCTGAGGCCGGGGGATGCTTCCATGTGCCTCCGGAGGCTGGATCGAAGTGGTGGTGACCTTTTCAAGGTCGCTGCTGGCCGGATCTGAGGCCAGGGGATGTTTCTGCAGCCCTCCAGTGGCCCGATCTGGGCACGAGGCCTTCTTCATGGCACTGCCACCTGCATCTGAAGCCAGGGGACGCATCTGTGGCCCTCCGGCGGCCCGATCCGGGTACTGGAGGCCTTCTCCGGGCTGCTGCCGCCTAGATCTAAGGCCAGGGGACACTTCCACGGTTCTCTGGCACCCAGAGAAGGCCTCCAGTGCCCAGATCGGAACACCGGAGGGCCATGGAAGCATCCCCTGGCATCAGATCCGGGAGGCAGCAGGAACCATGGCAGAGAGGAGACAGATCTTTTCAAGGTGAGTTTGGCATGGCAGGAAGGGAGGGGGAAGCATGAGGTATCTTAGTGGGTTGGGGAGGCCTTGGGGGCCTGTTCCATCACTAGGCCCTTCATGCCTTTTCCCACCCTGAGATACCTCATGTTCACTTAACAAGCCTCATGCGTCTTAATGAGCAAGAGTGATCTCGTTCGAGGTACGAGATTCATTCCCACAAGTTTTCGAGTTACAAGTGGAATGAGCAGGCTCCATTACATTCGTAACTTGAGGACTACCTGTATATGGTCATTAGAAGTCAAGCTTAACCCAAGGGCAACTTTACTTTTAATTACTTATACTTTTTTATTTAATTTATTTATGGAGTTAAGACCGAAAAGAAACAATAACACAGGAAAATCAGGCAATTTATGCCACACAAAGATTTGAAATTCAACTTACACTCCACTTTTCACATTAACTGATCTTGTCATTAGGCCAAACCCTGCACATTCTAAATCAGGAATTTCTTGATTTATAACATCCAATACTTTTTCATTTTCCTCCTCAGTTTCGAAAAGTGTTACTTCAGATTCCATAAAATCCTGCAAATTAAAAATTAAATTAGGAACATCTGTTACTACTAAAACTATCCTTCTATTTGTAATCTTCAGTTAGCCTGAACAGTGCCTAATAGTACAACTATTTTGGAATCAATGTACTTCATATCTGCTAACTTAAAGAATGCTACAAAATCCAGGACCCATTATTCCTGGGGAATTGAAATTTCAAGGATCTTCAGGCCAGTTGGATTCACAAATTTGTGGCTGTTGCTGCGGTCAGCTGCAGTCACATGACTGTTTTCCAATACTCCCTGCATGTTTCCCACAAGCAAAAGCAATGGGGAAGCTGGCAGGAAGCTGGAAGTCACTCCTGCTCCCACTGGTTTTTTTGCCCACCCATAGCCATTCTGTTTATCTGTTTAGGTAAGTAAATACCGCTGAAAGGATGACCCAGAAGATCATGGGTTATGTAGTGCATCCACAAAATTCTTCAGCTAATAAATATAGAGATATTTTCCTCAAATTATTTGATTTGCTCTAGCCAAAATACTGGCATACATCAATTCAATATGCATATAATTTAATTCATTATTACAATGTTTAGACCCATCCAAAGTTAATATAAATTTGTCTATCCTGAGAAAGTTATAATAAACAAATGGCTACAATTATTTATAGCTGAATAGTGAAAATTTAATAGTGCTGCTTTTCTACATCCAGTACATTTTTAATCTGTTTTCTTTTGTCATAGAATTTAAATAAAATACTCTGTAATATTCCCCCACTTTCCTTAAAATGTTGAATAGAGTGGTGCTTAAATGTTTGTCAACCCATTTGAATTTTCAATATGTATAAATATGATCTAAAACATGATCTATTCTTTACACAACTCCTAAAACTAGATAAAGGGAATCCAAATAAACAAATGAGATAAAAACATTATATCTTGTTCATTTATATATTAAGGGAAATGATTCAAAGATACTTATTTGTGCATGGCCAAAGTTGTGAACTTCTAGGATTATTAGTTCATTTGAAGGAGACATTAGAATCAGATGTTTCAATCAATAAGATGATTATTTGCTGTGAGTATGGGAGTATTTTGCCTTAAAGAACAGAATTCTGGGTCTTCACAATCAAAGTCTGATATTCACAAGTATGTGGAAGTGTCTTATGTTATGAAACTATTTCCAAAGAATTTGGACTTTGGAAAGTATGATTTGGGCCTGCTTTGTTGCTTCCAAACCAGGATGGTTTGCTTTCATTGATGAAACTAGGAATTCTGAATTGTACCAGAAAATGTTATAGGAAAATGCCAGAGTATGTGTGAAGTGAAGCTCAAGAGAATGTAGACAGTAAGACCCAAAATACACAATTTATTCAACTAAAAAAGGTTTAAGTAGAAGAAAGATAATGTTTTAGAATGGCTAAGTCAAAGTCCTGACTGGTAGGGACTTCATGTAAGGAAGCCCACTAATATCCCTGTGTTGAAGCTGGTAAATTCAGGGATATTGAGAAATGAATTAAAATTCTTCCAACCTAATGTGCAGGACCGATCAACAGTTTTTGGAAATGTTTAGTTTTAGTCATTGCTTCCCATGGTGTGTATATCAGTTACTGAAAGCAAAGGTTCGCATACTTTTGCCACACTCAAATATATAGTTCTGGATTATTTTCCTCAATAAATAACTGAACAGTAAGTAAAATTTTGACTGATTTGGTATTTATTTCCTTTATTGGAATCCAGAAACCAGAACTTTTATATGGAATTTTAAATATAAATATTACATTTTAAGTGATTTATTTAAAGATGTGCAAGTATCTTTATGTGCATAAGTTGATTTATGCACAAATGAGTATAATATTGTGATTGCAACATTTTATTATTACAAAAAACTGCATTTATAACTCTGCATTTACAGGGACTTAGTTCAGGTATTTGAGAAATCCTTAGTAGGTTAAGTTTAGAGTGCGAATTCTTTATGCTTTGTAAGAAAAATCAGAGTGTCTCCCAAAAAAGTATATATAGCACAAATAACTAATTTTGCTAAGGAATGTATCATGCATTAAACTATATTTTTCCTGAATTTTCTGCTGATTCTGTAACCAGGATATTCAAAAATTCATTTATTAAGAAACAACTTTAATTTCTGCATGCATTTCTACTCTATAGTTAAATGCTATGTGACTTTCCATGTCTGCAATCTAATAAAAAAAAACTAGAAATATGCACACATTTACACTTTTACATAAGCCTAATGTGTAACTGAATGCACATTCATACCATCTGGACACAGTATATATCTAAACAGCAGATTGAAGTTTGTACCTGAATGTGTGCATTACTGCAATATGTGTAAATTGGAGCACGACTCATTCATATGCCCTGTTTTACATATCATGTTATCAATATATACAATGTGGCTTAACTATCTTTTTGCACATCATCTTCCTTGGACCAGAAGCTTAGAATATAAGTTCATTTAGTACTAACTCAATCACTTGTCAGTACTGGTTACATTTTTTAAAATATCATAAATAAGTACTTCACTGCAGAGATACACCAACATTTTTAAATTCTAGAATTGGGACTCATTTTGCTTCAAGATAAAAATATCTTTTAAATGCAGCTGCTACAGTTGAATTTTTGGATTCTTAAAGGAACAGACTGAGGTTAATCTCTGGGAGAAACACTATCTGCAGTAGATGGATAATTGTGAAGGTTTATTTGGATATTCAGCAGTAAAGAGTAATGGATTGGTGGTGGGGTACTGGTTAGGAATGTACACTGGAACTGAAATTTGGTTCCTAAAGTGTGTTTAAAATAAGGTGCCAACAAAGCAAGCAAGCAAGCAATAAGGAACATAATATATAACATTTTCCCCCCTACCTAGCTTTTTCCGCAAGTGCAGATTTGGCTTTATTCGGATCAATCAAGTGTCGATCCATTGGTTGCACCAGGAATTGATTGATTGGCTTGTTGCCTGAGCCTGATGTCACAGGCTGAGAAAGTGTGATTGGTCCAAAGTCACCAAATCTGTTTTCATGCCTGAGGTGGACTAGAACTTGATGTCTTCTATCCTGATGGTTTAACCACTACACTCTAACAATAAAAACAGCAATATGCAAAAACTCCTGACAAGACTATTTTCTCTTTCTTTATTATGTGAATTCTTTTAATGGATGCTTTACAGGTTAAACAGTATGGTCTTCAAGGTTCCATAAACATTTATCAGATGTATGTAAAAAATATTACCTTGGATACAATAAAAATGAGTAAAAACAGAGAAAGAAGATGTGCTTTGCAAATTCAATACTAACCCTTTAAAGTATTTTTTCACTTCCTCAGTCTTATTGAATTGACATTTATTTATTTAGCGTATGACATATCATACATGAAATTGAACAGACAATAACAGCTCTTAATTTACTAATACATGTTCAATTCCAATTAAATGGAGAAATAAAATGTTGAAAGAATATTGGCTTAAAGAATAAATTAAATACTTACAGCTTGCAAAAATCTTACAGAGAGCAAAACACTGCTGACTCCACCCCATGATTGCCAGTGTTCATATTCTCCCTCCTCTAGCAAGTACTGCCGGCCTTTATATTGTTCCTTGTCATAAGCAACCCATCTACAATGTTGATAACACAAATTTGACAAAGTTAGAGAATGAATGAATATTACAAATGTATTGATAAGTATTAAAGCATATCATTTGGCACTTCTCCTCTAATGCATAAATTTAGTAGCTTCAGTTATAGGAGGCAAAACACATGATTCTCTATAACCTTTGCCCTATCCTTAATCCAAGCAATTCAGAATAATCCACTGCAGTATATTCTATTAGAATTTCACTGCAATATTATTATACATGTAGTTAGACCATTTATCTGTTGACAAATCAATTCTACTTTTGACAAAGTAAGTCTGGGGCTGGAGCAGTTGGCTCACATTTTGAGCAAAAACAACTCCCCTTCAGGTTAAATAGCAAGGAAAGAATTTGCTGAATTATTTGAATTTTGAATTTCAATTTTCCTTGGGAACAGAGTACCTGTATGCTTCCATTTGTGGGATTCAGGGGAAATTCTCTAAAATATAATATTGTCTGTTACATATCTAATTTAGGACCTACCACTGCTTATAGTTTATTGGACTGAGAACAATTAAGCTTCCGATATTTGGTTTTACAGTACATATATTTGGATTCTGATTCTAGAAGACATTGAATGTGCTGAATTCTCTTCAATGACTTGTGAATACTATATATTTAATCTTCTCTGGAACAAGTAATTAATGCCTTTCTATAAATAATTAAATTTTACTCTTATAATAATCAAAATTTATTTTTTTGAATGTATAAAGTAAATATTAATACATAGAGTATATAAAGGATATTAATACATAGAGTTGGGCCCCTAGAGGTCATTCTTTATTCTTGAAAAAGTTTTTTCCAATAATTTTATTAAGGATTATATTATATAAGTAAAATTTATACAACTACAAAATAAAGATTTTTTTTTCTACATTGAAGAAAATAAAAAAGTAAAAAAGCAAAGAAAAATAAAAAAGAAAAATACAAAAAGAAAAAAAATCCCCAGCAACATTAACATTAAGAACGTATTACTATATCTTAAAATAAAACCAAACATATCTTAATTCTATATCTTCCCCTAGTTTCTACAAACCCATTTCTAAAACCTCATCATTCCCTATTAAGCAGAAAAGTCCAATAAGGCTTATCAGAATGACAACAAAAGTATTATAAATTTTATCTACTATATCCAATCTGAATCCATCCTTTTTCTTTAAATAAATCTCCCTTTTCTTCAAATAATAAAAATTCAGTCTCATTCAAAAATAAACATCACCAAAAATATTCAGTGTCATCCAGTCTTAATCAAGAAGCCATTAAATATTGCCCCAAATAACAGCTTCTAATTTTAACCTTGATCCAATAGATTAATTTTGTATTCTTTTTTCTTTCTGCATAATGTCTTTAAAATCCTATAAGAAACTTCTAGCATCTGCTTGCTTATGCTCTTTCTCGAAGTTTTTTCTTCATCTTTTTAAGCCCTCCTTATACTTCCAACGTAGCAATTCCATCAAACACCTCTTGTACAGGTAGTCCTTGACTTAAACAGTTCATTTAGTGACCATTCAAAGTTACAACAGCACTGAAAATAGTTACTTATGACCATTTTTCACACTTATGACCATTGCAGCATTCCCATGATCATGTGATTTACATTCAAATGTTTGACAACTGGTTCATATATATGATGGTTGCAGTGTCCCGGGGTCACATGACCATCTTTTGAGAACTTCTGACAAGCAAGGTCAATGGGGAAGCCAGATTCACTTTACAACTGTGTTACTAATTCAACAACTGCAATGATTAACTTAACAAATGTGGCAAGAAAAATTATAAAATGGGACAAAAATCACTTAAGAAATTTCTCACTTAGCAACATAAATTCTGGGATCAATTGTGGTCATAAATCGAAGAATACCTGTAATGTTACTATAAGGAAATAATCCAAATCACTGATATGGTTTATTATTTGTATTCCTTTTTCACATTTTAAGTCATCATCTTTCATTTGTAAATCCATTATTTCCATCTCCTTCTTGTAAACTGTGATTTTAAATTCTACCTGTAGTTGTATTCAATGAAACTTGATCCGCTGTAGTTACACCAGTTGATGGTAATAAAGAGTTAAATAATTCAAAAACCTCCAGTTGCTATGAGTCAAATGTTTTTTTAAAAAAACAGTCATCTGGTGCCCACTAATGTCTAATCTTCAAATCTTTTCATCATTATAGGGTGTAAACAGGGGTTTTTTATAGGGTTTTTTCCATCAACATCAAAATCTTAAATCAAATCCATCTGGGCACCAAATCTGTGTGAAACTTTCCAAAACAATAATCATCCTCTTGCTGTATATTCCCAAAAATAAAATCTTATGAGGCTCACCCAGTGATTTCAATAAAATTTTCCAGTCTGAAGGTTTTAGTCTTTATAATCAAAGAATAAAAAAGGAATCCAAAATGGTTAAGAGGTGAAGCAGTCAAACTTAAGAGTCCATATAAGTGGCATTATTGGCTATATGCACAATCGAATCCCACAATTCTCAGCTGATTGCCATCCCCTCACAAATATGCAGCTGTATGGAATACATGTGAGTAATATGACAATCTGTCTTTAACTCCAGAGAGATTAGCTGCCTGATTTCTGCAACTGGATGCTTTCTTGACCACAATACATTTGTCTCTTTTAGAGAAATATCAGTTTGCCATTTGGCTCCCCAGAAGTGTGCTTTCTCTTGAAAAGAGTTCAATCCAAATTTTTGAGATCTATTCTTCAAGCACCTCACTATGTTCTGAATATGGTGCATTGCTGTAAATCTGGACTATTTAAAATAGAAACTTCTGCTAGGATTTTCATTTTCTCCTATAGGCTTAAGCATTCCTTTTTTTCAGCCAGTTTAGCCCCTTTAATTATGACTGATAACTTTCAATCTTCCTGGTGCCAAGCAATACATGTCAGACTGCATGGCTTTTCATGGCTGGACATAACCTTGATAGGCTATGATTGCACACTATCTGATCTCAAACAATGGGTCTTCATTTAGAGTTCAAGCAAATTTATCAGTTGTACCTAGAAAAATGTTCTGGAGTCACTCTTCACATTTTCTCCAGCCAGACAGACATCTTAGCTACATAATAATTCCAAGATTTACAGGGGTTTAACCTTGGCTATATTCAACAGATGTTACTGAAGGGAGTTATTTAAGATCCCTTTTTACAGAGATTGTCCATGTGATGGAAGAATAGTTGGACTAATAGAGTGTGAGGAAGTGGTGAACAGTGAAACTGTTGTCTGCTCTTTTCAATAGTAGCTGTAGTCATGCAAACATCTTCTGTCAGGCAACTGTCCATTCCACCAGAGCTGTACTCAGAGGCATTCAAGCTGGTATTCCAACTGCCTGGATAATTGTGCCACACCTTTGTGTTTTCAAGGACATGCAGAGGCAGACTCATCCCACCTAGTCTTTTGAATGCTAAGACGGAGTAAGAAGAGGGGTAGGTTTAATAGGAATGATAGCAGATGGCATGCAGATAAGGAAGTGGAGATGAGGGTCTGGAGACTGGCAGCTACCGGTATTACAAGTAGGCAAGAGGATTTTCATTGAATTGCTAAGATTACAAGCTATTGTGATCAGCATATTCTGGCGGGAGTCCTACCTGGAGTTTGAAATTTTTCCTGGAGCTCAGCAACAACTAGAAAAGGAGCAACCACCTCATCCCAACAAGTACAGAAATATTTGGGAAAAGGCAATGGTTATATATTACCGTAAAGACTCTGAGACTTTAGTTTGAACTGAGTACTAAAAGAATAATTATTAAAGGATTGAATATCAAAGATATAGTTATGTGGCAAAGTCACCTTGCAAAGTCATAGAAATGTAGAGTTGACCCAGAGCAATAACCTATTGTTGGGGAAGGTGTGTGTTGCAATAAAGCATGTGTATAGATTTGCCAGCCCTTAGAGAGCAAAGAACCCTCAAATGGAACACATTATTTTGTATTATCCCCTATACACAGAGGCTTGCCAGGAATTACCTGCATTCTTCACTGAACATCGTGGTCATTCTGACTTGTTTTATCTTGTTGCTATCAGATCAATCTGATTTTATTTCTTTGTCCAAAGCTAAGTATTACTCTGCAGTTTGTACAGTACGTTGTAGTACTTCTAATCCTTCTTTGATATTTTAGAACAATTATTATTTTCTTTTTTTATCCTAATTGTGATTTTCTTGTCTTATTTGTTGATTTATGACCAGAGGAAAAATGATTGATTGAGCTATTTTCTATTAATTTTTCAAAACAGCAAAGAATGGTTCAAATGTTTGCTATGTACATGACATATCTTTATTAAAAGATGCTTTAGAATGGACTCAGACTATGCAGTCATGGAGAGATACATTCATCACCAACAAATGAGCAGGAAAATAATCAAGGAAAACTGCATGCAAAATAGAGTTAATTTATAATATTTGGTTATTAAGCTGGCTGTCTCTCTCTCTCTGTATATGAATGCATAACCAGAAACCATTTTAAAGCATATTTTAATAAAGATGTGTCATTTACATAGCAAATCTTGGAACCATATTTTGCTGTTTTGACAAATATGAAGGCATATTCCCAGCTCAGGCAGTTTTATGACTTGGGAGTGACATACGTAAATTACTCCCATTACACGTCACAGAAAAGGAATAAATTAAGGGAGAATAAACTAAGGAATGGCAGACTTATTTATAGTTGTAGCTGACATGAAGTTAACTTTGGCCACAGCCTATATTTTATTTTCCTACTGTCAGCTCACATAAGATAAACATACTATCAATACAAAATATCGAGTTTTAAAAATTCTCTAGGGAAGCCCCTCTTCCACATTCTGAAGCTCCTGAGATTTGTTTGATAAGAATTAGAGTTGGGTTTTTTTTTTTTAAATGATGGTACTTGCACTTAGCTTTTTCACTGATAGCTATCAACTAATACATTTATAAAAGCTTCTGATTAGCAAGTTAAGACACTTAGAGTGGACTGGTGTGGGCTTTTATCTGTTTTACTGAAATACTGTTCTTTTTTACTGATTTAATTTCCAGTGGACAGGTATTTACATATTTTAATATTCTTAATAGTCTGTTAATAACAAAATTATACTTACATTCCACCAATGACACATATTGATCCAATTCCCTGGAAAGTATCAGCATTTTCAAAAAGTATTGGAATGCAATCAGTATTTTCATAAAGTTTTTTACACCATCCTCCAAAGTGTGGTCTTTCATATATTATCATCTGCAGAAAATGGGAAAATTGGTCTTTTAAAATACACTTCTTATTCTCTGTTTATTTAGTAGATTGAAAAAAGTTTAATTATAAAAGGCGAAAGAATTATACAATTGGAAGACACTGCAAAGCCTGTCTGATCAGCAGCTTCAGCTGAGCATTCCATACTTATGATTTCAACCAGAGTTTCTTAAGAGACATTCCCATTGGAAGAAGGGCAAACAAGAATATTTTTGTTGGAATACTTCCCTCTGCAGAGCTGCCCCCTCAAATCTTTATTTTTGATTTTCCTAAATGTCTGAAGAGAGTTTTAAAGGGAAAGTATGGATAGAATAGTAAGATTGGTTTAGCCAACACATATCTACTACAATTAGTACTTCTAAAATAAATCTTAAAAAATTAGTGGTAAAGAAGACCAATTTGTTTTCTTTCACCCAAATAAATTCCTCTCCCGAAAAGGATACTGCGCTTACCATAGTATTCATAGGCATCTGCACTTTTAGGCCACCCTAAAGTACAAAATAAAATAAGAAATATGAAAACATACTTCCATATTAATACATAGTATAAGTTAATATGTATTGATTCTAAGATACTTTATAAATCAATCAATCAATAAGTCATTCTTTACATTTCTTTTATTTACTTTTATTGTGTTTTAGGAAACTGGATTGATTTCATGAGTGAAAAAGCTTCATCAGCATCACGGCTGACTAAATTAATTTGTTCTCTAATAGAGGGCAGATATCCCTAGGATTATTATTTTTTTTTAGTTTCTAATTCATAGCACCAAAAGAAACTTTAGAGTTACTAAATACTAAATATTAAATACTTATAAGGGTTGAGGCAGTTCCAGATATGACTGTTATATAAGCATACAACTACTTGTTTTCAAGGCAACAAATTATTGTACCCATTAATTTGGATAGTTGGGAGAAACTTTTGAGAATGTAGTCCTCTACATCTTTACCCGAGTAGTAGGCAACCAACAACCATGTCTGGCTTCAGTTTTGTTTGCAATAACAATTTCAATTTAGTCAAATTGTACCTGAGATTTTCTAGTCTAATCAAGATAAACTGAGCTAAACTGGTTAGGAGCCAGGGAGGTCTATATTTTATTACCAATTTTACTAAGGGAAATTGTACTTCTTAAGAACCATGAATGCAAAATTTGTAGTGACACAATACTCTTTTCTTGATATTTTTAGGGAGGGAGGAAACTGAAAGTGGCAAAATATATTCATACAGGTTATAAGGAAATATATTAGTACCAATCCAAATTAATTTTGCAGATATAGATTTCTACTATAGCAAAATCACTTCTGAGCACCTCCTGGGAATATTTATAGAGACATGGACTGATCTATAATAATAAGAGTATCAAGCCACTATGACAATCCTGATTTAGCAGATAGCATCCTATAACTAAAGCTGATAATGACAATTATTTATTTTTTCTTCGATATTTCTGACTTAGTAATATCTTCCAAGTCAAACCTAATTCCCTTTGTCAAGTCACTGGAAGTTTAATTTTGACAGAGATCCTTCATCAAAAGGTTAATTGTTTATTTCTGAACTCATAATAATATGACAAAATAAATATGAATTTTCAAGAATGGGCATATTTAGACCTAGACTCAAAATTACTAAAAGACAGAACGGACTGTAGCAAATTAAATTGATTATGGGCATTAATATCACCTTACCATTTTCAATGGTCGAAGAGATTTTACATCAGTGGCTGAAAGTTTACATGGGCTTTGATTTTCTTCTAATACTGTTTTTTCTCCTTTGTAATCAGTATCTGAATAAGCAAGCCATCTATTAAAATGAAGAATTAATCTATTAACATGGTAATTAATGTGCAACTTTATTCATATATCTTGGATTAGCGCTCATTATTCAAGGAGCATATGGTCTTTCAAAATATGGTACTTTATTTTGCTATCATAGATTATAGTCACATCACACAAATAGACAACATTTTTGAATGCATGGGTACATTTTGAATTTAAAAAGTATGGAAGTTTTAAAATTTGGCAATCATGGTAGGTTTTGCTAGCATCCATTTACCAAAAGCAAATTAAAAAATTGCTCTTAGTTGCTCTCTTCCTCTCCAAATGTTTTCTACCATCTGGTTTTACTTTTTGCCTTTTTCTTTGCAAGTGAAGATAGTTCCAAAGAACAATTATGGAATTCTAATGGGACAATCTTTAAATAATAGCCTGATAGCTTCTGATTTTTGTTTTTTTTAATTAGAAGAATCTAAAAAGAAGGATCACCAAATGGCATAATTTCCTCTATTCGGTGTTAGAAGAATATCTATTATTTTAAAAGGTACTGGAACATGGGTACAATTGAGTTACAATTAGAAATGATGACATAAAATTTGAGATAATTGCAAAAGAGAGCAGAAAATTTTCAGATTCAAAATAATGAAATAAACATTTCACCTTTTTCTGGCAACATTACTTGTTATACATACAAGTATCATAGGCATATACTAGATATAAAAGTCCTAACATTAAAACTTAATTTCAGTAAAACATTTCATTTTATAGTATTTTGATAACTTCAGAAAGTCTATGAAAGCTGTTATTTGATAAATAGAACTGTATCTTGTGGATAATAACCTTCTGATAAAGATAAATTTTATGAGAATTTTCCTTTGAAGGCATTTCAAGATAACAATTATTTTGCTTACTTTTTGTATGATGAACAAATAGCTATTGTTAACCTTTATTTATATAAATTTAAATAAATATTTACTCACACTCCTGCTTTCACAGAGATGATAGGATTTTCAACTTCCAATTCATCTAAATTGGCTATGCCAGCCTGAATGTAGATTGGAAAATGACCTGTACTATTGTGTGAGCAAAGTTCAATTTCAGGAATACTACAATCCTATGAAGCAAATTAAACCAGAATAAAACAAATCAGATAAGAAATATTATATACATGTGGTCATTAGCCCTCTCTGCCCCTGTCAGTTTTACAGGAAGACTGGCTAAATGAGCTAAACCTATTTTATTGTAAGATTACATTAACAGAACCTTGGAAGTCTGAAAGTACATTTCTCTCTTTATTAATATTGATAAAATTAACATTAAAAACTTGCAAAAATGAAATATTTCCATACTTCCTCTTAAAATAGTTGAAGAATTTAGAATATAATATATCTCTGGTTAATTACAGGTATCTTAGAAGTAGGATGTACCTTTGCATAAGTACACATCTAAGCATTCATAAATAGGATTGTATTCACAGATTTTAAGAACTATTTTATGACAATAACTTTTCTAGACTGGAAACCACTTCACCATTGTTATTAAATATATCACTTGTTTTGTTTTCTTACTCTCAAAAAGTAAGAAAGGAAACATTAGTTCTGTTTACTGTTAAGATAACCCCAAATTGCTAAATAATTTAACTTGCTTTTAGCACTACATTTCAGTTATTATTGTGAATTTATTTTATTTAAAGTTGATATGGTCATCTGAAGTTTCTCTTTAGTAGAAATTTTGAGAGGCTGCCTCATATTTTAAGAACCAATTTATCTTTTTCAGAAATTTGGCATTTAAAAAAAAGCAAAGGTAGTATTTTATGGTTATACTTTAATTCACAACTTTAAAAATTTATTTTATTTTATTTATTTATTTAATTTGATTTATATCCCGCCCTTCTCCCAACGGGACTCAGGGCGGCTCACAACATATTAAAAAACATAAATACATTTGCTACCCCACCGAAGTAAAACCAATTAAAACCAAATATTTAAAGTTGTGCTGTTTAAAAATCACTCCTAAAATAAACCCGATTTAAAATCCTCCCTAGGCCAGGCCCGCTTGCTGATTGTTTAGAGTTAATAAAGCTAGGGAAAAACGCAAATTGAGAGCTGAATTTAAATGCCTGCAATTTGTTCTCACATGAAATCTACGAGTAAAGAAAAAATTCAACATTAGCTACTCACTTTCCCCTTTTCAACAATATTTTTGCTATTTTTATGGCTCTATTTTGCTGTATTTGATACCATTTGACCACATAAGCAGCACAATATGTGGTCAACTCTCATGTACATAGTATGTTCTAGTTTAACATTTTTCAATTATCAAACATTAAACAAATGATAATACAGTGGTGTTTATAACCTTTGACCTCATTCTACCATTGTCATTATGATAATAAGCAAAATAAAATATGATGATTAAAGCTTGATATAGGAAAGAGAAATCTGGGACACAGAAGTAATTACAAGAGTTACCAAAAACCAAAAGGAAAATAGCTGAATCTTTGATAATTTCAACTATAATGCTCTAGGCAGAGAAACAAATAAAACATTGAGGAAAGATAAAGTAGAGTGACAGGGAAATATATATATAAGGATACCCATTTGGTAACCACTAGTAGCATCTGATTTTGATAACAATAAAGTATTCATTATAATTGTTATACCTTCATTATATGCCTGATGGAACCAATTGTGAATTTTTCTTGAGCTTTCTCTCTGTGAAGATTCAAGATGTCAGTCAGCATCCTTTCTCCTTCTTCTAGAACATATTTCTGACCTTCAAATGTTGGTTTCTCATATAAAATCCAGCTACATTAATGAATATATCAATATAAATATGCCACTCACATTGCAAGCACAGCGCCAATACTAATAAGGATCCATGTTTACAGTGATAATTATTTGCAGCCTGTCACATGTGTAGAATGAGCACACATGCACACTGATGTATAATATGAGCAATGGCTTTTCCAGCAAGAAATTTCTATTGCACACTGCTACAAGAAGAAATATCTGCCACTTAGCTACATTATTTTCATTTGTTAAACATATATGCCCTATTTTTAAAGATTTTAAAAATCAATATAAAATAAATTGCAAGCCAATCTTTTTTCTTTTAGTTTCATATGGATGTTTAATTTCCCCAACATACCATTTTTAAATACTTTAGCTTGTCATTCAGAACTGGCAGGGGAATATATATTGTTTTTCTAATGTTAGAATAACATAGGTTGGCAACAATGATCACACAAAAAAATTTCATTCTAAATAATACAATAGAAATAAATGATATAGTGCTTGTCACTTAAACATTTTCTATACTTTGACTACTTCCAATATTGCTTAGAAAGCTTACATAATTGCTTATTATGAAAAGTATTATAAAGATTGTTTATACTTGTCATTTGACTTTACAACAGTGATTCTTTCTTCCTAATTCACCTCACATATTTGTTGTAAAAAACTGGAAGCAGGATCATTATACATGCTGCCTTGAGTTGTATAAAATAAAGGTGGTATATAAAACTAACAATAAATATTATTTATTTTCTGATATCACAATTATTACAGACTGTCTGGAAATTACTTTAAATTATTTTTCCTGAACATTAAACCATAATGTTTCCACATCTATGTATGATTATTAATTGAGATGTTATGTCTCTAGTCTTATTCCTAATAAAATATATTTTCTTTGTTTTCTGTTTTTTTTTGCAGTGGATATATTCTTTTAATTACCAACAAATATAGATTTCTGAAAAGTATACATTTACTTGCTTATCTTGTGTTTCAGTCTTCTTAAAGTTCTTACAAAATAGTCAAACTAAGGAAAATGCAAATTATTACTAATAAGTATTATATGGCCAAAATTACAGTGAATAAATTTTGCATAGTGTGTTGTCTTTTTTTTAGTTCCACATATATCTATTATCAACATTGTCATGATATTAGTCAAATGTGATTCCTGCTATAAGATATATTTTTCTTACCATCCTCTAACAACTCTGATTGATGCTTCTTTTGAAAATACCCAGATGGTAGCATCTACCACATCACGATAAATTTCTACTGGTAGTTTATTTGTATTCCCATGAAAATCACAAATAAGCATCTGCAATGACATGCAATTGTTTAAAGCAAGTTTGGTACATTCATTTTCTATTCCTCTTATATCAATTATACTATGTTTTTGGCATAATTAATCATTAAGCTAGGTTTGATGATTTGAATTTTATGGGTCTAACTTATCTAGGTCTTAAAATGAAACCATGACAAGAAGACTGTCTCAAAATTATCAACCTCTTTACTGCATTCCATTGTTACAGCAGACAACTATGCTACTTATATCAAGGAAAATACAGACGTCCTTTCCGTACTCGTCACTCATATATTCCACACTTTTGAGAAATGTTTATGACAAAGCAGATAATACTGAAATCTTATTGTCTTACATAAAATCACACTCACTTTTCCGGGTCTTGGACTGCACTTGAGTCTGACCCTATCAACAGGGCACTATAATCAGAAAAAAAAAGAAATAATTTTAATACTACAATAATCCAACAAAAGATATTTTAAGATATTGATGAAGCAAAACTTAGTATTTTTAAATAAAAGTCTATAAATATGCTAACAAGCCAGTTCTGAAAATCTTAAAGACAAAAGTCAAACTCGTAGAATACATTTTGTGACTTCATTAAAAACTACCAGCAGTGTATTCTGAGTTCTTACAATTTCTATTAAAATATAAAAGGCTGTGTACAATACTACTTTTCTCATATTATTCATCAGAAGAAGATATCAACTATTATGTTTTAAGCAGAAATGTGAGCATATGTGCTAATTTATCAAACATTATTGCAAGAAATGTGAGCATATGTGCTAATTTATCAAACATTATTGCAAACATTATTATACCAGCCTGCCTGATATCAAAAGTGATGGTGGCGTTTCAGCTAAGAATGTTCACTCTTCTCCACTTACAACTCATTTATGAAATAACTTTTCCTCATATCCCACCTAAAACTCCAGGAGAAAAAAATAGTAAAGGAAAAAAGTATTTTTCAATTCAAATTCTGCTAAAAAATTGTGCTTTCTTTCATTTCATCTGCCTAGTATATTTTAGACTGTACAATATACAGACTGTATATTGGCTACAGTACATTGAAAGAGTTATGTACCAAATTATCACAGTAAATTAAGCAGAATCAATAGATTCAGCATTTTGTTTATATGGGAAATATATCACCATAATATATTTAGCCTAAAGATGTGTGTACAGAAGAAATGAAATGTATAGATTAGGTTCCTACTGTATATATAAATTTAGTGAAAAGAATTACCTTTTGACAGGTTACCAATTTCAGCAACTTTTTAGATTTAGATTGTGGGTCAGCTGGCAATGTCCTGTTTCCAAGTGTACTTCTTTTTTCATCTAAATAACTTAAGCCAGGCAGATTTTCAGAATATGTATCCTTTAAAAAAGGCTTCATGCCAGGGTCAGATTTTTGAATAAAATGAACTGCAAATGTTGAACTTAAAGATGAGGTCTCTTCCGAATGAAATACTTCCTTAGAAATAAATTGTCTACAAAAGTCTTCTGGGAATTCAATATTTTTATTGTCTTGCCAAGTACTGGAAATAGAGGTTTCTTTTTCTTCCTCTTGATTTTTTCCTTCATAAAGTTTGTCTTCTCGTTCATCTTCATTATACTGATTACTAGACTTTAACTTTTCAGATACTGATTGCAAAAGTGATAAGATAGATAAAGATTGGTTTTCTCTTAGTGATCCACTATGGTGATTTCCTGGTGAGATATCAGTGGAAGGCAAGTCTTCTTGGGAACCATCATCTTCATATATAGGAGACAAAGAAAAGGGGTAAATCCTGTATCGCTTTGCTTCCACGGTCATGAAAGATTCTGAACAAAAATCACCTGGCATCTCATTCAACTGCTTGCTTTCATCATAAGAAGGAAAGAGCTCATCTTCGAATCTGGATGTTTCATACATCTTATTACTGTTATCCAAGGATAAATCAGAATGGGATAAAGTATCCATTATTTCTTCTCCTAAAAAAGAGTAGCTTTCATCTTGAAGACTGTCTTTATACAAAATATTAAAGGAAGAATTGTGTTCCCAGTGTTCTGGTGTATGAAAGGCAAAACAATTTGGGGATCTCTTTTCATTTTTACTGTCAATATCCAGATAATAATCCATTAGTACATTATCTGCTGTTATACATGGGTCCTCATTTACTTCTTCTCCATGGACAAAACCAATGTTTGATGAGTTGCTCAACAGAGATGATTCAGATGTACTAAAAAAGGCATTGAACCTACTATCTTGTGTTATTTCTTCATTTCTCATTTTGCTACTGTCCCATTCACTATGTATTTCATAATATTTTTCATGTGGTTCCTTTCTTTCAGCAGTAATAGCTTTGCTTTTTCTTATCTCATATTTTGGGAAATCATTCTCCGTATTATGTCCAGGTGAACATAAGGATGTAAGTTCATCTTTATATTTATCAGAAAAGCTACCATATGTATTGTTTGAGTTAAAGGGTAACACATTCCTTGTTAAAACTGAGCATGCTGACAAATGCTTACAGGTCATAACAGCCTCCTTTTTTACTAAATTACATTGATTCTCACATGTCCAGCTATTAGTGATATCACCAAAAATTGCCATATTTGTTGCACAATCATCATCTTTATTGTATTTGGAATTATTTTTGTCAGGACTGGAATCTAGTTTAGCTATGTCATCATACCATTCTTCACAAATTGTTTCTCCAGAAACCTCTTTACTGTCTTTTTTGAAGTTAAAAGGAACTGAGACATTTGTTACACCCTCAACAGGGTGCTGCTCTTCAACTGGGGATACTGGACTTAAATTTAAGGGTATTTCAATTATTTCAGGACGTTTAGCTGATAATTCTGCATCAGTTATAGATATCTCTGATGTTTTAGTGTAACACATACTATTTGTATTTTTAGAAAAATCCTTACTTAAATGTTCCTCATATGGCACAACTGCTGGATTTTGTTTGTCTGTTTTAATAGCATTCTCAGTTATTTCCTTTGGTTTTTCCAATATTGAATTGTGTAATTCAGTTATCTCTGTGACATTCAATGGTTCCTTTTCATTCTGAGTATCATTGTTAAATTTATCTATCCCAACTCCAGAGAACTTTGTGATACAATTCACATTAAAGGGCTTTAATGAAGAGTTCCTTGACTGTATTTCTTTAGATTCTGACCTCATTTTTCTATTTTTCTGATCTTTTTGAAAGCTAGGACCTAATTCATTATTCTTAGTGTCATTATTTTGATAGATGCAAGCTGTTTGCTTTGATCTAATTTCTTCTATTGCTAAATGAAGAACTTCATCTACTATTTCATCCGCCTTTTTAAACAAGAGTGTTAAGTTTTGAGATTTAATTTGCAATTGCTTTCCTGTTTCAACATTTTTCAACGGTTCCTTAAAAAACTGGTTGTTTGATTTAGGAAATAAAGCAGCAATTGTTTGTTTATCTATTCTATTAGCAATTTCTGAAGGCATAGCCATGAGGCAATTAGAATTCTGCCCTGAGGGAGTTGTATTAATTTCTTTGCTCTGCTGGGTAATAACAGGCATTTCTGACACTATCTTTGAAGAATCTATAGCATCCATGTAATAGGCAACTGAGGCCAATAATGGAGGTGAATCAGTAGTATCTGATGTTGATTCAGAAGATAGACTACCTAATTTATCTTTAGAAGACAATTTCACAGTATCTTCTTCAGAATTTATAGGAAGAGAATTGATTTTGTCAAAAACCGTCTCTATTGCTTCACATGCAGGAGAATAAAGATCTAAAGTATCTTTAAAAGAAGTTGTAGGAATAGCATACTTGGGTGCATGTACATTGTCAGATGTAAAATCAGGAAAGGTCTCTTTTATGAGAATGGATTCAGAATCCATTGAATAAGAACTAGTCAAAAATTTTGTTTCATTAGAATGTGGCAAAGTATTTTTTCCAGAGTTATCTCTGTCAATAGTATCAGGGATAATCTGGGATTTAAAGTTGTTTCCAGATTCCAGAAAAAAATGTGACTTTAAGTCAGCTTTAGAGTAGTCTGTCTCTGCAGAATTTGCTCCAGTGGTGACTCTTGCAGGCTTCAAAATATTTTCCTGTTCATCAGGCAAAAAATATGAACCCTTCAAAAAATTCTGATCTTCTGAAAGAGATGAAGATTTAGCCATAGTATCCAAATGAATGTTATCTTCATAGATGTTAGCATTACTGATCAATGCAGGTAAGAGAGAGGAAGAATTATCTGGTGGCGAGTTAGTTTTTTCAGGTTTCACAGGTAGAGGACTGTGGGTCAAGCACTCATTTTTGGAAGAAGAAATAAGAGACAGACAAGAGACTTCTTTATTTTCAGGATGCTTGACATGATTTCCTATGCTACTGAGCAATGAATTGCTTGTTTTCTCAGAAATAATTGGAGTTTTAATTGCATCAATTTTTGTAGTTTTAAAAGATGACATATCTGTGTTATTTACATGTCTTACGTATTCCAATTCAAAGAGTTTATTTTGTTTCTCAAGAGGAGATGGAGAAATATTTAAGTTGGTTAATGGCTGGATCAGAGTTTTATTTTCATCTCTCTTGGCAGGATGACAGTGACAATCATTTTCAGCTTCAAGACTTTGAGGGACATTATCTACATCTGGTTTGAAGGAGTCAGCATGTGTATATTCAGTATCTAACAAAGAAATGTTGGCTTTATTTTCCTCTTTACCATTAGACAAAACATGGTCAAGTTCCACAACAGGTATTCCAATATTCTCCTCAATCACTTCACTAGTTTCAATATTAGACATTATGGAGATCCTGGACTTAGTTTGTATATCTCTAAGTAATAATGGTTCAGTAGTTTCTTTACTCTCTAGGCCACTCTTGCTGCATAAATGCAACCCAGACCCATTTTCTGTGGAAAGGGCTGACATTCCTGATTTGAAAACTAATGGCAATTCTTCTCTCTCTGCTGGTTTATGGAGAAGCAAGTGAGAATGATTTTCAGTCATCATATCTGTATTTAATTCTTCCTTGCTGTTTGTTCCATTATTTACTTGATCACTACAGTTATGGCTATTCATGTACAATAATGGATTAACTGATTCTAATTTTAAGTGATCGTCAGTCCAAGAATATTTATCTTCTAACAATTGACGATCATTATTAGTTGACACTATTTGGGGATAAGATGACAACTCATTTTGTATTGCCTCTTTTGTTTCTGTGTTAGAAAAAGCACATAAGTGTGTTTCTTTTTTACAACAAACAATGGTAGCAGTGTTTGACTGTAGCTGCATTTGTACTTCTTCTAATGCTTTTCTCTTTTCACCTAATCTATTGTTTTCTGAATTGATTTTTGCAGAATCTATATTTTGGAAGCTAGAACTGGCTTGATTTGGTAGCAATACTGGTAGCTCCAGCAAAAGCTTCCTATTAATTTCTGATTTGTCTGAAACTGATACACATTTTACACACTCAAGTTCTTCAGTGCAATTTTTGATGGTTTCAGTTTCTGTCAAAAAGGTAATTTTGTTCTTTAGTTCGTTGTGTTCACTATCACCCTGAACATCCTTCTTCCAATTCATTTTTGACAAAAGCATGTTTTCTTGGGCACTTTGATTGTCATCTTTAGTTTCAGGTTTTCTATTCTGCAGTAAGGATTTTGGTTCTGTTGTAGTTTCTGAGCTTAAAACATTTATGACTTCCTCTTTTTTGCTTTCCACAGAACAACTGCTGGTTCTGGTTACTTTTTCTTGCTCCAAGTCTGCTTGTTTCTTAAGCAACTGCTTAATTCTTGCAGAACCTCGGTAGGTTGCATAAGTAATAGCATGGGGCTGATTTTCTGTTTTTCTGGAATAGAAACATCGTTAATGGCATATTAGCAAATGTTTCTAGCTACACACAATTATAAATATACCTACTATTCAAATAGTTAACCCATATTATATAGAGAGGGAATGGTAGTAAAAGTGTAAGATGTGTAATACATTTAATAGTTATCTACATAATAATTGTAGAATTACTGAAAAAGAATTATTTTTGGACTATTAAAGTCAAATCCCTGATCTAAGGAAGAATCCTAAGCAGAATATATTTTTGCCAAATACATGTGTATTAGAAATCTTTACTGCACACAGAAGGAGAGGCAAAATGCTACTTTAAAACTGGAACAAGTAAGGATGATTTTTGGCTGTCTTGTTTAAATGCTGGATATGAGGCAAAGGCAATATCATGAGAAAATGGCTGAAAAATATGGCATGCTTGTACAACAGATGGGTACAAATAAGGAAGAACCTTTGGAAAGGTTTCTCTCCATGGGAATAAATATGTTAGCATTGAAACCACATCATTACGCAAACATGAATCGCAATAGCCAATGCTATTATATAACAAAACATCTGGAAGGTATTAAAGTTAGTTCTCAACTTATAACCACAACTGAGCCCAAAATTTCTGCTGCTAAGCAAGACAGTTGTTAAGTGAGTTATGCCCTTTTTTACAACCTTTTTGCCACAGTTATTAGCAAATCACTGCCACTGTTAAGTGAATTATGCGGTTGTTAAGCAAATCTGGCTTCTCCCATTGATTTTGCTTGCCGGAAGCCAACTGGGAAGGTTGCAAATGGTGATTACATGATCCTGGGTCAGTGCAACTGTCCTAAACACATGCCAATTGCCAAGCGTCCATGTTTAGATCACGTGTCCAGGATGGTGCAACAGTCATAAGTGTGAAAAACAGTCATAAGTCACCTTTTTCAGTGTCATTGTAACTTTAAACAATCACTAAAGAAATGGCTGTTTAGTGGACAAATTGACTACCTGTACATTGATAGAGGTTGTTTTACTTTATAAAACAATGTACAAAATCCTCACATGCACCGTTTTTAAAAATATGGGAACAGAAAATTCAAAGGCTAGGTATCAGCAATTACTTAAATTGTGGTTTAAAACAACAATCTATTATTAGACTTAGAAACAGTTTGAAAACTTCTTTCTTTCGGACTTGAACAAATATAAGGCAGCCTACTTTCTGCTCATGTATTTTTGATTGACTTTTTTAAAAAAATATGAAGGCTATATTGACTATGTGCCAATAAACTGTTATTTACAATTCAGTGAAGCTCAGTGCACAAATGCATGGATGCCTCTTAGCATGCTTCCTCTGTAACATAAATGTTCTATGATTTAAACTGAATATAACTCTACCTCCATTAAAAAGCATTGTTAAAGCAATGTACCTATAGTATTTGATTTATAAAACAGACAAGATATTAGTAAGCATAAATGAGATCTAAATACATGTTGTACAAATGAAATTAAATACAGTTATTGACTGTAAAATCAGGTCTGTAGATCATGTATTAGGCTACTATTGGGGTACAATAAGATGACTATGTCTCATTAGGAAAGTTGTATGACTCAGGTTTTAAAAACCTATAAAATGTGATATTCTGTCATGGATTATATAATTTGGTATAATCTCTGCCTTAAATGTATTTTATAGAACTACAAGTGAATAGAGACTAAATGAATCTAAAATAAATACAAATTCTCTTGCACTTAATAGCCCACATAATGCTAATGGCAGCTATAATAATGTTGCCAGGAGAGATTATTATTCTGCCATCCTTATTCTTGGGGGGGGGGGGGAAGCAGCTTATATATTCCAATAGTTCCATCTGGTATTTCAGAGCTCCTGATATGTTTGACAAATACTTTAATCCCTGTAACAGCTTTCACCGAAATAAAATATTTAGCATTTGAGGAAAAAAAGAAGATAACGCTATATAATATAGTATTGGCATGTTTGCTTTTATATTTACAGAATTAATGATTTAGTTCACAGCCTGTAACCCACTTTATTTTAAAAATTGAAATAGTAACAAAGAAAGTTTAGCTCAAACTAAGCTCTTTATTTCTGTTGTAATTTATAGAATTGTAATTAACTTCTTTTACTCAAATCAGCAGTATACAGAACTAAAATAAATTACTGAAACTCTTGTAAAGTACATTTTTCTGCTTGCCTTAAGACAACTAAAATATAGAAAGCTAAATATGCTTATACTGACTTTATTTTCTAGAACATTTTACACTTAACAGTAGGTACAATCAATACCTGTTCTTGTTTACATCGTGGACTACAGTTCTATCTACTGAAATTGTTTCTGAACTTTTATCTTTTATCTAAAAGATAGAAGATAAAAGTTGTTTCAGGCATGTGAAACGAATGAAATTATTTTCTCTCTCTAGCTTTGCACTCTCTGTTATCTTTATATTCTTTTTGGCCTGGCTAATCCATAGTATCATGTAAACTTGATCAGAACTTCTCTGGAATGGAATATGCAAGATTTATTTAAAATAAAATCTGCTTTTTTTCCACTTCAAGTATAATTAGTATTGATGAACATGACAGAAATTGTACAGCTAGAGCAGGGGTGTTAAACTGCCGGTCCATGGGCCGGACGTGTCACGAGGAAACCACGCCCACCCCATTGCCAACAATGTCTGAATACGTTTATGCACATGTTTATCCACAAATAGGAAACACATTTACACATTTTACAACAGTAGTATTGGAATCATACTAATACTCTGTTGTAATAAAAATATTACCAAATATCTCACAGACATATTAATTTTATATCTTTCAAATATATTCTCAAGTTTAATAAAAAAAAACACCAGGTCTGAGTAGCACAATATATGGGAGTAGTAGACTGAGAAAAATTAAACTGGGTTAGAAGTGAAAATTAGGCATCAAACGTGATTAAGCTGCATTATAACAGCTTTTAATGGAAACACTATACATGGCAAAGAATATTTTGCCATGAGATTCGTATTCTGTACAAATACTATTACTGAATATTTTGATGACAACCTGTTAACTAACCTTAAAAATGCATAAATAACTATTGCCATAAAAAATAAAAAAATGCAATAATAAATTTCTAAGCCATATACTTTATTGAATACTGTTGAAAAATTGTGCCATTACTGTCCAAGACAAAAAGTCATTTCAACACCTGAAAATGGCTTTCATATACACTGGTAGTTCTAGGTTAATGACCATTTGTTCAGCAACTGTTCAAAGTTAAGGCACTGAATGAGTGGTACCACTCATTGGTCCTCAAAATTCCAGCCATCCGAGAATCCCTGGAGTCACATGATCATGATTCCGCACTTGGCAACCAGGTCTCGCTTAAGTTGTTTGGATTATCCCGTAGACACATAATCATCATATGTGATTTTCCCTACTGACTTACTGTTAAGCCCAGCCCAAGAATGACACAATGTAACTCTCTTCTGGAAGCGGCCATCCCCAGCTGGACTACATTCTCTTTCATTTGGCAGTAACCAATGGTATTTTGGCCATGCTTGCACTGCACTGCAGCAGTGCCCTATGCACCCTCCCTCATTAGACAGCAATTACCATAGCCAAATCACCCTTGTGCACATACTCCCTCACCTGGTAGCAGCCACCTCATCTGGCATGCTCATGCTGTGCCACAGGAGACTTTGTGCTTCTCCCCCCCCCCCCAGAAACCATCCCCAGCCTTGTTGCACCCATGTCACAGCAACCACTTACCCGCTCACTTGTTTACAAACTACCTGGACTTGCAACTTCCTGCTGGCTTCCCCACAGAGTTTGCTTACTGGAATCTGGCAGGAAGTTGTGAGGATGTCCTCATTTAATGACCTGTGATCCTTGCTTAGTGATACCAATGGCTAGGATTGCCATTGCTAAGTGATGTGGTCATGCTTTATGATCTCACTGCTGAGTGACAGAAATTCCAATCCCAATTATCATTATTAAGTGAGGACTACTTGAAAGCACAAAAAAGACATATTTGAAAAAAACTGGTCATTCGAACCACTGTACTGAATTTTCTCAAAGCCCATAAATTTATCTGCATAAAATAAGCCATTCACATTTCTCTACACATCTTAATTTTCATTGTGCAAAATGCATACATGAAGAAAAGGGATGTTCCATGGAAAGTCTAGGCTCATATTCAGATTTCATGTTTGTGAAATTTTATGATCGTATGAGCTCAAATGAAAATATATATTTAGATACTATATTTGAACTCACTTGGCTGTTTCAGCAGATTCATCCTGAGGTTTCTGTAAATGTTGTGAACTAGATTTAATTCTTAAGTTATTTTCTTCATCTTTGCTTGAAATTTTCTGTTCAGTTCCAAAATTTGAAATGACAAATATTTTTGATTTGAGATGCTCAGTGGATCTTTTATCTTGATGGCTATCTTGACTTGAAAAGCCTTTTTTAGTTTTGCAATGTCCATCTCCAAAATTAGAAGGTTCTTTTTCTTTGTATGACGATTTAGAAGAAATACTAAATAAACTTCCAAGATATTGGAAAAATCCTTCTTTAGACCGTTTATTGTTACTGTTTGCTTTGCTTTCATGAATCAAACTAGGAAGACTATTTGCTTTCCTTAATTCCTCTTGAGTGGTAGATCTATTTACATCTTCTGTAGAGAAATCCTTATTTTTACAGACTGAAACCTACAAGGAAAGAAACAGATTATCAATTGCTAAAGAGAAAGTAAGATTTTACTCTTTATAGGAGGAATTGTATCACATTGTATCCTGTATTTCCTATGAGAAGCATAAGGTAGCACATACTCAGTTCTTTTCATTTTATTGTTCCTATGAGAGCATTAATGAGGCCATGCAGTTTCTTAACAGATGAAAATGATGGTCTTCCCAATCTAAGGCCAGAGCTCTTTCTGCTTAAGCATACTGGATCTCATTAAGTGTACTGGAATGCATTAATGTACAATTTTAATGCCAGTGCTTTACTCCAGGCATACATAATATGTATTATCTAAATCTACAGTACATTAAGCATGGCTCAGTAGGCATAGCACTGATTCTATAAAGGTGGAAAACTAGCTCTTTTACTAAAAGTTCATATGAAAAAGAACCTCCACTATAAAATCTGCCTTTTATTTTTTTGAAATATATGTTCTTCATATGTAATGGATGTAATAGCATTACATAAAAATAAACAGTTGAAACATTAGCAGCTATTTTTAGTTCATAAATCTCCCCCCCCCCCAAGGAATGATTAATGTGGCATGTCTGCCAGGCTTCCTCCCCAAGAAAGCCTTTTAAAAAAAAGTCAGTCTTTTTTTCCTCTTTCTTTTTGCCTATGGGCAGTAAAGCTGACTGTTGCTTAGATAAGATGTGTCTATTTCACCAATTCGTCAGGCCATTAGTCCTTCGTGTAGAGTTTTTCCTTAGTGTCTTCTCATATAGTGGCTTTCTTTTCCCCTTACTGCTTGCAGGGAATTTTGCCTTAATTCTCTGTGTATAATTCTCTCTTAGACTGTAAGGATAAAAAACTCTCCACAAAGTACCAAGAAAGAAAAAACTATCTAGCCCTTGCAGAAAGACACCCCCCCAATCCCTTGTGGACACTTTTTCTCATGGATTAAGAGATGTTTTTTCCCACTTTGTCCCTTGAAGAAAGGGTTTTTCCCCCCTTCCGTAACCCTGAAGCTCCATTCAGGCCTACATGGAACCCTAGAGTTTTAAAGAACCCAATTTGAAAAACCATATTTTAGACTATAACATTTGTGATGAGGTCAGAATAACAAAGATTATTCTCATCAATTTATGACTTCTATTTGCAGATCTGACTGACTTTCAGGAAGTGCTAACAGAATTTGTTGGTCTTTTGTTTTTGTCTTGATTGAAATACGAGGGCAATTCGGAAATAAACCTCCATTTGGTTATCAATGATTATACACATTAGAAAACTACAACATTACATTACTTTTTGACATAATCACCATTCAAATTAAGGCACTTGTCATAACATCTTACAAGGTTTGAAATTCCTTAGTAGCAGTTGCTCGGCGCCAAATCTGGGCTATGGGGTGTGTGTGATTAAAAACATCCCAATGGAACTGCTTCAAAAGTTCTTGGGTGCGTCTAGCGGTGTGCGGGTGACCACTATCGTAAACCAACACCATACGGAAGTGGTGCAATAGAAAATCCCACCAAATGTGAAGATGCCAAAGGAATACTGCTAGTGAAGATCATGGAGCGTGGTTTGACCATCAGTTCAGAAGCCTAGTGTGAAATGTTACGAAAACTCAAAAGAGCCATCCATAACAAGCATTGGGGCATGCTGACTTCTGGTGTGGTGTTGGTTCACAATTATGCTCACCTGTATACCACTAGACGCACCCAAGAACTTTGGAAGCAGTTCCGTTTGGATGTTTTTGATCATCCCCCCTATAGCCCAGATTTGGCGCTGAGCAACTACTACTAAGGAATTTCAAAACTTTTAAGACGTTATGACAAGTTCCTGGCAATTATGTTGAAAAGTAATGTTGTAGTTTTCTAATGTGTATAATAAAAGTTCTGTATCTGCAAGTGTCTGTCACTGATAATCAAATGGAGGTTTATTTCCGAATTGCCCTTGTAGTTCCGTGTAGCTTCCATTTCTTAATTTATGATTCTCCAATTAAAAATGTTAGTTGCAAGTGTTTAGGGATATTTTAAAAAGTCTCCTCTTGTTTTGAAAGAATTAATTATCTTTATTTTCAAACGTGCAGAGAAACCTTAGAAAAAATAATGGCATTTGAAAATAGACAGAAACTTACAACCTGACAAATTAGAAAGACTGGAGTATTTGTTCACCCATAGACTTGTTTTATCTAGCTAACTATAGGTTTAATTAGTCTTTGATTCTTATTAACAATTTTATAATAACAAAAGTGACACCAAATCAACAGATGAGTGTCCTGAATTATGTACATGTTATATTTATGGTTTTCTTGGTTTGAATCTATAAAGAACTACACATACAAAGAACATACACATATGCTCAACATTCTACCACATAGAGGTTGTGCCACATTCCATTCACTATATACTTTGGCTGAAAATACCTAAATTTTTGTATATAGTGGGGTACATAATATATGACTGAGAAATATTTTCAAAATGATATCTGTCAGTTGTGCACAAAATCCCAAGTTTTGGGAAGTGATGGGGGATGAGGCCAGAAAACATGGTTTTTCCATCATGACACTTGTATTATTAAACAGCCTTTCTTCAAAATCCAGAATTGTACAGCCATGTGCATTTTTTTCTTATCTCATTATAACATTTAATTTTGAAAAGCTAGAATTGGAGCTGCTGGCATAATATATATTAATTATATTTATGCTTGAATCATATCCAGTTTCTTGCTTTTAAGTTTACATTTCATGCTATTAAACTTTTGAAACAATTATTTTATTAAAAACTATCTACAATTAAAAGATAACAAAGCCAGGGATCTTCAATTAGTCATAAAATGAACACTGTAATGATAACTGACTCTAATGTCATTATTTACGATTCCTATTCTCACAATTACATATGAATACACACACACACACTAGTATTTCAGAACATTTTCTGCATATAATGAAGCAGACAAAAATACAGGAAAACCTAAATAAAAATAAACTGATAGTTTTTAGAAAGTATAAGACATAATTCTGGTTCCTATTATAATAATAAATAGAAAGACCTTTAACAATTCTGGAAGAGGACTGCTTTCTTTTCTTGGACAAATCACATCTGTAGATTCATCTTCCTTAATTTCAAAACTGAAAAAAGAGAGAAAGAGATGTAACCTATTTGAAAGTCCAAATTTATTTGAAGCATTTTTGAAAGAAAGTGCAGAAACCAAATGCTTTTATTTTGCCTGCTTGCTTTCTGTTATCTTGGCATTTCTTGTGTTTAGACAGCTTTTCTAAATCTGATCAAAGCGTTTCCTTTATTGTCATAAACTTTCTAAATTCATTTTTAAAACTCCAATACTTTTTCCTATCTATTTTTAACACAACTCTTTTGTACTATATTTTCAAAACTAGTCAGTTAACTTGATTTTTACTTAAGGTTACCATCTGTTCAATCTAGAATTTTGTCCCTTATCCTCACATAATGGTAGCTGTAATTGTAACTGCCTTACAAAGTTTTTTGCTTATTGATCAGATTTCTATGCTACCTACTGTAATATCCAATGATACTGGATGGCTGATATAGAATGAAATTATAAGTAAAGATGAATTTCCCAATAATCCTAAATCTTTGCATACCATAAGCCACATATTTTAAATTATATAAAATTTAAATATCTGGATTTTATTAAATTTATTATAAATTTAGTATAAATTTCTAAAAGATCATTTCTAAAAGTCTTTTGATTTTATAATCGTAGAGACAGACACATGAGAAGTTTCTTCTTGCTCAGTTGAAATGATATTAGCTTAACTAATTTCCAATTTAAATGATTAACAATTTATAATTTGAATAATTAGTAAAGAATGAGTTGAATCAAAAGATTTAATATACTAGAAGGCTCAGATAACATTTATGTGTAGACATGGTTAAGTGTTGAATATGTAGAATTAATAGCATCAACATGAGAGGAAATCAAGAGAATTTTGTCTACCTGGGAGCAACTCTATGTTATCTTTCTCAATAGGCCATTTATACTTCAATAAGTTTGGACCAAAAAGTATTTTTGGAAGCTAATATGTAGTATCAAATTCTGCTAAAACAAATTATATGCTGGATTTCAGCTAAGCTCCAGTGTATTTCCTCCAAAATAAAAGCATTGTTTTCTAATCAAGATCTTCCATAATGAAAGAAAATACACAACAATTATTAATTTTATTTATTTAAAATTCTTATATGGCTATCCATTTTAAGAAACATAAATGTTTCTTAAACACAGCAGCAATACCAAACCAAAACATACACATACACACACACACACACACACTCATGCACACAGAAAGGCAAGAAGCTAAAATCTGGTGTCCTAGCTGTTTTCCTCTGATGCAGTCAGACATAGGCTTTAACCTCACCCTATTCCAATACGTGATGACAAACTAGCTTTCCATAGCCTTCTCAAAGGTTAAGAGGTGAGGGCCTACTGGATCTCAAGGGGAAGATGTTCTATAGCAGTGCTTTTCAACCCATGGTATGCGTACCACTGGTGGTGCTTCAGCACCTGGCAGGTGGTACATGCACAATGTGTTGAAAAGCACTGTTAAAAAAAGTGTAACAAAAAAGTAAAAGTGAAATGGGGGGATGAGTTGAAGTGGCAGCAGTGCTGCATAGGCCTGTCGGAGAGTCAGCTGGGTCTGTGGTATTGTTGGGGCTCTGTTGAGCACCCAGGATCGGCACGCAGCTCCAGATGATTGGCGCTTCTAGGAGAGTCAGATGGAGGTGCACCGAAGAGAAAAGGAAGAGGAGGGGGAGAGAGGATATAAAAGGAGGTTGTTTTGGTGGGAAAGGGAGAGAGAGAAAAAGATGAGGAAAGAGAAGGGGACAGAGAAAGAGAGAAAGAGCAGTGCGCAATCTTGGGGAGAGGAGTCAGCTGGAGCTGCACTGAAAAGAAAAGGAAGAGGAGGGTGAGAGAGAAGAGAAGAAGAAAAGGAGGTGGTTTTGGTGGGAAAGGGAGAAAAAAAAGACAAGAGGGAAAGAGAAGGGGACAGAGAAAAAGAGATGGAGAAGAGGAGAGGCTTCTTTGAGACAAGCAGAGGGAGAGAAGAGGATAGAACAGAGCAAAGATTAATGTCAGAGAGACAGGGACAAGTTTCCCATTGAAAGTGAGAAATTTGTTAAATGAGTTTTGTCCCATTTTACGACTTTTCTTGCCACATTTGTTAAGCAAATCATTGCAGTTCTTAAATTAGTAACACAGTTGTGAATCTGGTTTCCCCATTGATTTTGCTTGTCAGAAGGTTACAAAAAGGGATCACCTGACCCTGAAACACTTGGTGTAGTTATACCAAGTTAGTAACTGATGCAAAAAGAAAGATTCAAAATAATAGGTCTAAAGACTAACAGTGTTTGGGAACTTGGGCTCATCTACTGAAAGAGAATAGATGTGCTCAAACAAGTTTTTGGTGAAAATATACATAATATAATACTATTGCTGAGGGAAAGATTGGTATCCGCAGAGAAAAAACAGATATGAGAGAAGTATTTAATCTTCTGCCATTTGATAATTCTTTCTCTAGACATTTTTCCCAGTAAACTCCAGAATGTGCAATAAATTCAGTCTCAAGACACTAGGCTAGAAAAGATTACAAATCACTTGATCTTCACTGAAACTTTACTTAAAAGAAAATTGCACATCACTGTTATGTAAATGCATTCTACAATAGGAGTGCCATCCTGTTCAAACTAATGTGCAAAATAGAGAAAATACAGCATTTATTAATAAAGTTATCACATAGTTTTCATAAGGGGTAGACATCACAGTGGCTACATGTAAATAAATGTAAATGTAAATAATTCAAAGTCAAAACTTAAATCCTTAAGTGCAAATTCTAAATTGTTAACTTTTGTTCAAATTAAAAAACACCTCAAATCATTACAGATTATTTTAGACAGCAACATTTGAGACACTTCAATTTTAATCCCATATGGAAACATTTTGATTCTCTGTAAAACCTATATATTAGTATACAGTTAAAAAAATCTTCAAAGCTCATTCCAGCATCATACTAAGTGTATTTTCCCATCTCTGTTCTTTATAAAAAAATCTTTTGGATGTATTAAGGAAAAACAAAACAAAGCAAAACTATCTTCCTTTCTTCTTTTAGTAAGTTATCCACCCACATTATGTATATGAAAGTTTATTTGCAGCATTAGGCACTAATAATTGGAAAATAAAAGGAAACAGTGCTGGCAGCAGAAAATAAATATATTAGTTTTGGCAATGAAATTGGCTCAGTTTGGAGGGAGTCACACAGGAAGATAAGGGTTCTCAAATAGGTTTGAACATATCCAAGCTACATAAAGATACTGTCATTCTAAGACTGATATTGGACAGCAATATAACTTTAGTTTAGGCTTAAATAAAAATTGCTCAGAATATAGGGTAATTCTCAATATAATTTGTATTATTTGCACTTTTAAACAAGAAGGTAAAAGCTAGCACAAATAGAAAGTAAGGAAGGGAAAAAGAAAAAGAGAAAAGCAAAAAGTGCAAGAAAAGGGAAAAAATAATAAAAAAAGAAAAAAGCATAAAGAATTGGCTTCCAAAATTCTTCACAGCCCTAGAATTAGATTTTGACTTCTCTTTACAGTTACATCATATTACTTTTATTTGCATAATCTAGACTGTCTAATCAGCAAAACTGTAAGTCCCAAGTTATTTTTTTTTTCATTTTTATGCAAAAAGTCCCCAAGAGGCTTCCAGACAACAATAAATAATGTTTATTCTCTAATCAGAGAAGCCCAGTGGTTGGGGTAATTATCAAGAAGAGAATTAATCTTTTTATTTACATTCATTGGAGGGGAAGGGATTACAAGAGAATACGCAGGTACACACCAAAAGGAATGTGCTAGTCCAGAAGAAATACACGAGCACAGTCTCCAGTTAGCTGCTTATGAGGAGAATGAAAAAAAAAAAAGCCTTTAGTGTGAAACTGTTTAAGGTCCTTCAGCGTCAGGTATAATACTGAACTAGTTGGAGGATTCTAAGGCCACAGAACTGAGCTTAAACTATTTGTGATTACTACTTTTTAGGGACATGCTGAAAAGAAGCTCAGGAAGAGATAGATAGTTTAGGCCAGTGATGGCGAACCTTTTAGAGACCGAGTGCCCAAACTGCAACCCAAAACCCACTTATGCATCGTCGGATGCCGGGTGGGTGTGGCCCATTGGCTGGGCGTGGCCGTGGTGGTAACGGCAGACTGGGTGGGACTAAAAAGTTCAATCAATCAATTCCAACTTTGCAAGATCTTTTTTTCCCCGCGAGAAGTTGACTGATTGATTGAACCTTTTTTTTTTGCACACAGCGGCGGAGGCGTAAAGCGAAAAGGTTTTATAAAACCCAGCTGAAGGCCTAGGACTGGGGCGACGGAGCGCGTGCCCACAGAGAGGGCTCTGAGTGCCACCTCTGGCACCTGTGCCATAGGTTTGCCACCACTGGTTTAGGCAATCTCTCCACTCTGTGGGGTGGGAGGAGAAAAATCCTGTTAGACACAGACCTTTATTGACTGTAATGGTGAACATGTGACTGAGACACAGAAAGTCACTGTAAAAGTTGTAAATGTGGGCATAGTTATAAAATTACTTTTTCATTTTCTGCCTACTTCAGTCACTAAATAAAGACTATTTGTAAATCACGGATGTCAAACTCGCCGTGCTACATGATGTGTCGTGAAGTATCGTGACTTTTTTTGTATTGCCGGAGCTGAGATGGGCGCAGCCTCCATATGATGCAACCGGCCCATGGGCCGATAGTTTGACATCCCTGCTGTAAATCAAATACAAAATTCAAAGGCATTTGAAAGATTAGGATTGACTAGCACTGATATAAGAAAGAGAATAGCTACTTGCACACTCACTATTGTCAACATTTTGCTTTTTGTTTTGGTTTAAAGTTTAGGCCTTTAGCCTAGTATAAGCTTCAACAAATGAGAGTGGGGAAAGTCTTTCTCTAAAAAGCACAGGTTTTTTTTTAACAATTTACATAATCTAACCTGGCCCTAGAATTTCCCAACCCAGAATTCAAAATCCTTATAAAAGATACTGTATTTCTATTGTTCTTTGTGCCTTTTCCTTTGTAAATTAGAACCCAATAATTGCTATTTTAATAAGTGCTAACTTCATCCTCAGAGTTGTGCTTCATCTTTCATATCCAGAGCTCATTCTATCATCTACCAAGTTAACTATTCAGAAACTACTTTTTCTGAAACCTTCTCAGCCCTATCTCTTGAGCTCATATTTTTGCATTATTGGCTTTTTTTGTTATAAAGTCTTTGGTAAACGTTTGCTTGTGTGAGTATAATGGTTCAGGAATTTGTGTATACACCAGTCTTTCCAGTCCTTCAGCTTCAGTTTTGTTTCATATTTGTTGACACATAATGGTTAGCATTTTAAATGGTTCCTCTCCTATTACTGTGAAGATTTCAATGGATATTTAATTGATGCCTACTTTTTAATTTGACAACTTATTTACTGCTATCATGCCTCATTTTATTTATTACAAGACTTATATCCTGTCCCTTCAAAAGACTTTGGATGGTTCATAAGCATTAAAATATTCTACTAAAACCATACAATAACAAAAGCAAATACCTAATTAAAGGTATTTCACTGTCTTCATGAATACCACCAATATGGAGGCCATCGATCTCCGTATCTCTTGACAGGATGCACCTCAAGCTCTCCACCCCATTCCAGAAAATTTGACAGGAAACCCAACTATAGGAGCTAATTCTACTTTATTGCATTGTAAAGTTAAATTAACAAAATCTTACAAAGTACAACTTCCTGTCACCACTTTTAATTGCTTGATCAGTTAGGATGGATTCTTCCTAGGTTTCTTTCTCTGACATTTAAGCCTCTTGAGGATCCTCCCTCTTTTGTCTGATTGTTTCCTAGCCAGCATCTCTTCCCCTAGTCTTCCAAGGTCATCCACACACACATACACACACCCCCAATTGCACGTACAACTCAGGCAGTTTCTGCATAAAAAAGATAATTCTGAAAATATTGAAGAACAAAAGCACGGTTTTATAGATCAAAACAGTACTTTAAATTGTACTTGGAAGGGGTGTGTGTATGTGTGTATGTGTGTGTGTGTGTGTGTGTGTGTGTCTTCAAGCCACTGTTGACTCCTGGTGATTGCCTGGAAAAGTCTGTGTAATTGTCTTGGCAAGATTTTTCATAAGTGGTTTGCCATTGCTTCCTTGAAATGGTATAAGTGGCCCAAGGTCATCAAGCTGGCTTTGTGTCTAAGGTGGAACTAGAACTCACAGTCTCCCAGTTTCTAGTCCAGTGCCTTTACCACCACACCAAACTGGCTCTCGCTTGGAAATATATTGGTAACTAATGCAGTGCTTCTAATACAGGTGTGATATTGCTGAAACAATTCTCATTTGCTGCATTCTATACCATTTAGTTTGGGAGTAGTCTTGAAAAGCAGTTCTAGGTAGAGAGTGTTGCAGTAGTCCAGTCTCAAGATAATGCTGGCATGTGTGATTCTTGCCAATGTCTCACATTCTAAGTTTTCCCTTGCCACACCTAGCATGATAAAATTGGACAAAAGCTTGATGACAGCTTTCCTCTGCTGATCAAGCAGAAGCCTTACACAGAGGGAAAACCCAATGTCACTTCAGGTAGAGTGCAATCTGATCCAGACTTGACACAGGATCCAATGAGGAACCAAGATGTTTTTTTGAACAAATGGTACTTCCATCTTAGCTTATTTTGTTCCAACCAATCCAATTAGCCAGGGTAGAAATATATAGCCAGATATCCATTCATTGTTGATACACCACCCCAAACTGATGAATAATCTCCAGCAGTTCAATACTAATCTTAAAGAGGCCTTTGATAGGTCAGAAAATATGAAGACCTCATACGCAAATCCTCCATTGCTACTGAATGGAATTACCTATTCAGAATATACAAAAAGACATGCCATTCAACCCAATTCTTATAGGTGGTACAAGAGAATGCCATGTTGAGAGGTCTAATGGGACCAGAGAGCCTCATTCTCTTTTTCCAAATCCCAACGAAGATCATCCCCAAGACTTTATGTTATTGCTGAAATAAATGGAACTTTGTTCTGGCACAGCAGATCTCTTCTTATATTGTATACAGTTAGTCCCTGACTTACAACCAATCTCTTAGTGACTGTTTAAAGTTATAACTGATCTGAAGAAAGGGATTTACAAGCCAGATTTGAAGTTCTGACAGTCAGCTTCTCTCTGAGGTCATGTGACCGAACTTCAGGCGCTCAGCAACACAGACCCATTTATGGCCATTTGCAGTATTCCACAGTCATGTGATTGTGTTTTATCATGGTTTGGCTAAAAACCCAGTATTTACTTCCCCTTTTTGGCAAAACTGCACCCATAGCAAAAAGGGTTTAAATTGGGTTGGTCATGTGACTAACCTGTTTTTTTAATCATCATGACATATGACTGTAGTGGGCATGTTCCATTATGCCCCTTATGTGGAGGACTACCTGCAACTATTAAAAGTGTGTGTGATGCTTTCTAAACAAATAACTTTTATGTCTACATTATTGAATAATCAGAAAAATTCCATAATACTGTTATATTTTAATTATTGCTAAATAAAAACTACAAATACCAAAATGCTTATAATTCCCTATAATGTGCAAACTGAAAATAATAACATCTCTCTACGAAGTAGTTATACCTTTAATTAAAACAAAATTAGATTTCAATTATGGCTTATCTAAGAAACTGATCAGTTTCTTAACCAACTTTAAGGCACACAATTTCTTATTCACCAGATTATACAACATGGAAATGCCTTAACCAATACTGTGGTGCACTAAAATTTGGAAACAAAAACCTATTTTTTAAAAAATGATTGGTTGCTTATTTTTGATATTTAGAGTTTATTAATATTATAATCTTGGAAATAAAAGGCACATAATATTACATAATTTTAACGTTTTGTTTTTGCCACATATTATATGCCCCAAAACCATTCTTACAATGGGATTTCCTTTCATTCTTTCCCCTTTCCATTTCAGGGTGTGCTGAAGAGAAAGGAAGTGGGGGGGGGGACAAGAATGCATTATGTTCATAAGTACTGCTAGTGGATACAATATCGTTTGTTAAGTTTTGGCCCATTAAGATTATTATTAAACAATTTGAACCAAGGGTGTGTAACATGTTGCACATGAAAGCAATTCAAAACGGATTGTTTCAACCTAACTGGATTTGTTCTGATGCTTTTTTGACCAGTAGTGAGAAAAAAGACTTATCTAACTTACAGAAACTTTAAGAATGGATATATTAAATCACCACAGAATTATCTTAGGTTACCAGTGTTTATTAACTGTTACTTTTACCTTGTCTTTTATATAGTACCCATCATAGATCCATGATCTATGTGCACATACGCAGGGGCTGTTCATAATCAAATGTGCACAGACACAGGGGCTGTTCATAATCAAATGTAGAATATGATATAAAATGTGAGAAATAGACCAGTTGCTTTTATTATCAGAACCATCCCTCAGTTTCCATACCTTCCAAAGAGGTTTTGCCAAAAGGCTCTCGGAGGGCAAAAGCTGTACTCCCCAAAATGTAAAAAAAGCTTGAAATTAGCTTTTAGCTTGAATAGTATTTGAACTTAAATGATACAATGTTGTTTACTAGCTAAGTCAGGGGTAGTCAACCTTGGCTCTTTTATGACTCGTGGACTTCAACTCCCAGAATTCCTGAGCCAGCTATGCTGGCTCAGGAATTCTGGGAGTTGAAGTCCACGAGTCATAAAAGAGCCAAGGTTGACTACCCCTGAGCTAAGTGCATGAACGGGAGGAAAAGAAAGAGCCTAAAAGAGTAATACCTATCTAAAGCCCGTCTTCCTCGAATGACAACAAACCGTTCGAGTCCTAATTTTCCGCACAGTTCACACGCCTTGCCCCACGTGAAATTACAGCGCTTACGCTGAAGATGCTCTTAGCTTCCGAGGCTTTTATTTATTTTTTTTTAAACTTATTTAAACAGAAGACCACCGCCTAGTTAGCATTACAAAGGCTGCGTTCGCATTATACATTTTATCCGGGGTTGGTTTAACAAAAAGTTTTCCTCCACCCCATTTTGCGGGATTTGTGCGTAACGCGCTCAACCACGGAACGGCTCTGGCTTGAGCTCTCGCGCCAGACTAACGAGCGTTTGGGCAAGTTTGCGGCTCTGGGTTTTTTGTCGCGAATTCAGCCCAAAGGAAGGGACGCAGGGCGAGGAGAAGGATGGCGAGGAGGTGAAGGGGTGGTGGGGGGAGAGGAGGAGAAGAAGCGAAGGAGGAGACGAGGCACGAGAGCCCCAGCCAGCCTACTCCAGCCAGGAAGGAAGGAAGGAAGGAAGGAAGAGTCGCCGCCGCTGCTGCCTTCCAAACTTTGCCCCGCCGTCCCTACCTTCGTGCGCAGTGCAGTTCGGGGGCTACTTTGCTCTCTTCTTCCTGTTCCTTGGGAGAACTTCTCGTAAAAAGTCGAGAGAAATGGTTGTGCCAGGGGGAAGCGCTTCTCCTCCGGGGACTCCCGCCAGACATCTTCCAACAACCAGGCGACTTCTTTGCTAAGGCTGAACAAAACAGGGGGGGCGGGGGGTGCGAATCGCTGCCGCTTGTCCTGGGGAAGAGAAGCCCTCGTTCTGCCTAGCTTTCTAGCCCATTATTGTCCCAACGGGATCGAGTACAGCCGAGCCCTTCCTCTACTACGCCGTGGAGGCAGAAATAGTTGCACGGCACCCTCAACGGCCCGGCCCAGCAGGCGGGGCCCGGCCCTGACCGGCACGGCCCCTTCTCTCCAAACCCCGCCTTTTCCCAACAACGCAGGAGCTTCAGTTCCCGCGCGCGTGATCCAGAGTTTTCGCTCGCCACCCCCCGCTCCTCCCTTGCCCTCTGCGGCCGAGAAACTTCAGGTTGGTTGAGTTTTTGCCTTTCCTCCGAAAATAAACAGTCGCCATCAATAAATAGGTGTGTTAATTTCTCGACAGCAGCGTGGAAGAAATACTGGCGTGACTGCCGCAATCAGCTTTAATTGAACTTGCTGAAAACCTGTTTTCGAAGTATTCTTAAAACGTTTGAAAAAATAACTTCTTGGCTCTCCCTTTTCCTAAGACTCTTAGGTACGATAGGAAAAAAAGAACCCCAACAAAACATCAGACACGGGAAAAGTTATGTTCGTGAAGATCTGGAAGACGGCTATGTTGGGGAATACATACTTCTGAGCCTTAAGACCACTAAATATTGATGAAATCGTGTCCCAGAATTTAATGCAGTCAAAATTGCTTAAAATCAGTGTTTCTCAACCTTGACAATTTTAAGGCATGTGGACTTCAACTCCCAGAATTCCACAGCCAGCAATGCTGGCTGTGGAATTCTGGGAGTTGAAGTCCACATGCCTTAAAATTGTCAAGGTTGAGAAACACGGGCCTTAAACCAAATAAGGCTTATTCCTAGGTAAGCATAAACTGATTGCCCTATTTTAGTGTTTAAGTGCTGCAGGCATTCAATTTTTTTTTTTTAGATTCCTCATAAAAAGTATATAATTGGGCTGGGTTTTTTGTTTTACTAGTATTAAAAACTGGTGTAACTAGGACATACCAAGGCCTGTCTTTCTACATAATCTTAAATGTATTTATTATTCTTCATCCATTTTCTCCAAGACACTTCCTTTTCCAGAACAAAAAAAATGCTGTAAGGCATGTACACAGAAGGAAGCCCTCTGAATAAATGAGTTTGGACTGGAGCCTAAAATAATTGCATGCCATTGCATAAATCAGTTTTCTTTTTAAAGAACATTTCAATGTACTATCTTCAAAATAAAAGCCCAAAATGTGTGTAAACAATCTGTAACTACATTTGAACTGTTTTGAATGTCTTGTGGACAGAAAAATATACAAATACAAATTAAAATAACAATCGATTACAATAATTCTATAAATGCCAGTGGGAATGTTAAGTAAGTAAGTACAAGGACACTTCTTTCATGCTGCAGAGTGAACAACACTATGTGTGTGGTTCACTTTCTGGTTACAGTTTTGAGCTATATTCCTCCACCATAAAGGGAATACTGCGAAAGTATAAGAAAATAATAACACTCACCTGCCAATCAATGCAGATATTACTGATGCTATAAACAACAGGCTTTGCTCCAGACATCCACCTATTAGAACAGCCAGAAACTTTCTGAATAACAACTTCAATCTGCTTCAGGCCTGGATGCAAGAATGATCCTTTATTGGTCCTCCAGAGTGTCACAACACTCCTTGCTTTACAGCTGAACCAAAAGGATTCAATCTATCCCTTAAGGTCTGGTCAGTCCTCAATAGGATTAGGACTCAACATGGCAAGTACGCTAATCTATTCTGTAAATGAGGGAAAGCTCTCCTTTTTAGCTATGGTGCTTCAAAGCAGATGGTGCGACACATTGTGGAACAATGCCCTTTGAGCATGTATCAGGGAAATTCCAGAGATTTTATAAATAGTTTCATATTTGTTCTTTGAGCATATAATTGTGATATGGTTTTTAACATTTTTGCCATACGCTAAATAAATAAATTCTGCAGAGTTAAATCCAACCTTGAGGAAGCTCCTGCTTCTAGATTCATGACAAAGATAAGGTAAAGGAGTCCCTGCGGATTTTACTCCACGTCATTGCAGGCGTGCTCATCTCCATTTCGAGGTCGTGGAGCCAGTGCTGTCTGAAGACGTGGTCATGTGGCCAGCATGATGACATCACAGAGCACTGTTACCTTCCCACCAAAGTGGTACCTATTTATCTACTCTCATTTGCATGCTTTTGAACTGCTACGTTGATCGGAGCTGGGGTGAGGACGGGAGCTCACCCTGTTGCATGGCGCTCAAGTCTCAAACCTGGGCTTTTGGCTTTCTAGCCGGCAAGCCCAACATCTTAACTACTGAGCCACTGCACCACCCTTGGCAAAGGACCACCTGTCAACATCACTCCAGGGTATGCGATGAAATTTAAAAACCCACTTCCTGAGTATCCCAATTACCTTAGAAGGTCTTTGACAAATACTATGCTCCAAACATATGAAACACTTAAAATCAGTTATTTGATCAATGGTGGCAATCCCAGCACAGTACCCTTGCTAGGTTTAATTCTATATATTAATTGAATATTACATTGAAATTCTGAGATTAAAATGGTAAGTAGTAAGTAGTAGTTAACCAACACCTGGGACTTTATATTTTTATTCTGCCATTTTTTGTCAACTCAAGGAAGTATACATACCAATTTTTTCCATCTCATATTTTCCCCATAGCACCAACCCTGTGAGATGGGTTGGGCTGAATTACTGGTCCAAAATCACCCAACTGGCTTTCATGCCTAAGGGAGGCCTAGAACTCAGTCCAGGCTACCACTGTAAGCACTACATCAAATAGGCCCATCCCATTGATTAGGTGGATAGATAGGCATATAGAGATATTGTTTCTCTTCATCTTCTAAGGCCTTGGCAGCTGTCCAAGGGACCTTATGCTTGAATAATTATAGCTTTTCCTTCTAGGGTGGTACTTCTGGTAAGAAGGTTTGTATCATTTAGATGATGATTGCCTCTCTATTAGTATATAGTAACATCAAACATTCACCCAAAGCATCCTGACAAAGGCACTGTAGCAATATACACTTTGGGATTAGCCTTATATTTTCCCAGGCCTTGTGATTGAGGTAGTCATGGTGTCCCCTTTAGCTTACTTTTGCTCTTCTGGTTAACCATGTTCTCATTTTTAAGCTGCACAGAATCACCAAGGACGTATGTAGCCCCAAACATAAAACAAATAATAAAGGAATCCCAACCATTCCCTTCTCTTGATGCAGCCCAAAGATGTGGAAGTTCTGTCCTGCTAGCTTGCTTCACCCTCCAATGAAAGCCTGTTCCCTTCAACTTTTAACTGGGAAAAATATCAGTCCAGGTATCTGATAATATCTTGAAGCAATGCTTACTGAGTGCTTTACCTGCTTTGCATTTTTTCCAAGTAAAGCCTGGTCTCTGGAAATGCTCCCTTACAATATTTCAGACTATTTCATTTCATGAATGCAATTTGTCATCTTAAAAGATACAGAATTCATTATGTCAGTTATGTACTTTATTTATCAAAATATTTTAGCTATTACAGAAAACAATACAATTTAGTACATAAATAGCACATCATAAGCATCCAAATAACTTGTAAAAATCACAATTCACATCTAACTAAACCTTGTATGGCATAGCTGATTTCTGTGCAAGTTAAACTTATACCAAATTCTATTGCAGTGGGCTGTTTTACAAGATAATCATGGTCTACTGAGACATGCAAGATGTCTATGAGTGTTATGGGAGTAGAAGTATGCAAAATAGAACAGTCTGGTTTAGGAATGTTCAATTTCCTTAGCCTAAGGGGTTGATTCAAATCGTTAGTGCCTTTTCAGAAGTGTATCATCCAGAATACCACACTTTTGAGATTACAGTTCCAGACATGTAAAAAGCTCCTTGCAATGTGTGGATCAGCCTATTCCAGAAGAAAAGAATATTCTTAGAGAAAACTGAATATTTTGGAAAAAAACACCACTGATTTCGCTTGGAGCAAAACTTGTACAAGCTTGTTGCTTGTACACCTGTCATCTTCTTCTCTTATCTGTCTGAAAAAATAACCTTCCATTTTTTCTTAACTCTTAATTATCTTCTTTCCCAATGCTTTGTTACATAAAACAGGTTTATAAAGTAAAATTTCAAACTATGGTTTGAAATTATTTTATACACAAGAGTTAGAATAAACTATCATCTGTGGGCTAGACAATATAACATGATGATAAAAAAAATGAGGGATCGGGAAGAAAAAGGACAAAAATAGTCTTCCCAGCTGTAGGAATTTTTTTTTGAAAGAACAAGAAGTGCACTAGCTTAAGTTTTACAGCATTTGTTCTTTCTTGTGACTATTAAATTTAAATCTAATTTTAGTTCAGAAAGAGACATGGCCAGTGTGAAGTTTTGAATGTAAGACACTATGCAAAGCTTTTCAGAAATCATTTTTGTTAAGATAACAATATGCATTTCCCTAAGGCATCTAACTAAAAATTAAATAAAATATACCAAAGGTTTTTGAATAATATACAATTACTTCATTGTTTTATTTGACCACACCTAAATCTTTGGTCACATTATGGCCATTATGAACTATTAGCAAAAATACTATTTTATTTTTAAAGGCTTTTATGAAAACCAACACAAGAAAACACACAGGCCTAAAGTTTTTGTCTCCAAGGCCTTCAGTATCTATAAATTATCTTTAACATTTCCATTAGTTCATTAGCTTGTCATGTCTTCATTATTTGGATCTGATCTAGATAAAAACAAATAAAAATTCACATTAAAATACAGTTTTCTTGTAGGATAGCATCAAAAAAATTCCATCACTGTTACCATTCAGAAACATTTTAGGCTATTAAGGAGTAATGTACATGTTTATAGATTTTGTGGTACCTGCACAGAAATGTCCAGAAGCCTAGTTTTTGATAGACAGTTCTGAGATACTATTTCAAAATGTTCAATATTTACTAAAGTTTTTAATTTCCATATAATAAATATTGTAGTAATTTAGGAGGTTTCTCTACATCTCAGTCTTCAATCTTTGCTGACATCTAGTGGTGTTTTGTAGTGTAAAATTCTTGACTGGAAAGTTTTAGAATAAAGTGTTAACCAACTATATGAAACTGTTAGTTGCTGTCCAGTTATTTTATTTCAAAAAGTGTATATTTTTATTGCCAAAGCCAAAACTAAATTTCAATATCTTATTCTGCTAAATCTTTTAACAGAGTGATGTAAAGGGGCATAATGATCTCTTTATGTAGATTTATCTGCTATCTTCTGCTTGCTGCAGGAAAATAACTTGAGGTCCAGTATCTCTTCTTGAAAGCTACTTTTGAGAAAAGTGCCTCTAGTCTAGCTGCTCTTTTGTTATGGCAGCCCAAGCAACAGTGTTGCTCTGTAGGCAACATTAAAGCAAGCAAACTTCAATAAGGCAGGAGTAGCAAAATCATCTTCCTTGAATTGCTTAAGTACATGGGTTATGACAACTAATGGAATGGCTAGACTTATAAGTGATGTTACATGAAATAATTCACATACAGCATATTTGTAATGTGAGTATGAACAATTATCTTGGAATGAAGTTCTATAGATGGCTTCTGTTTCAGCATTTGTTGTTCCCTTCTCTTTTAACTGCTTTTGGTTTTAAATATTTTTTTCAATTTATTGTTTTTTTTAGTGTGTTGCATTCTGCAACCCATTTTAAGATGCTTTTACACAGGAAACAGTAAAAATGCATCTTAAAAATTGTGATGATAATAAGAACTTTTGTGTGTGTGCTGTATACATACATATACATATATATATAATTTCAGCTGCTTTAAACAAAAGGTATAATTTGGATCACACTTAGATCAGAAATTAGAACTGTTATTGTATTATTTACAATGAATTTAAATGACTTAGGATTTTTTTAAAAAAAGGAAATGAGTATTTTTATATTATATTGACTTTAATCATAGGAATAAAAGTATTGCTGATATATTAATCAAAATGGAATTTTTAAAATGGAGGTAGCCTTGTTTCAATGACAATATGTCATTGAAAGAAGCATCCAAATAATTGTAAGGATACTTACTGTGTAATTTGATCTGACAGCAGAAATAGGCAGGAAAAAACAAAATGAAATGATGGAAAAATATTTTTTTTTTAAAAAAGGAGGGCTTATGGAAAGAAAAACAGGAAAGAAAAAATTAAGACATACCTTGCAGCCAGTCCACACCTTCTTGTAACCCTTCTCCTTTAAGAGCATCACTAGCACTGAAAGAACACACTCTTGTAAGTGATAAAAGCAAGTGAAGAAATATTTTTAAAATTAATCACGTACACAATGGTCTTTACTTATAAGATCTAGTTTCAAACATAGATGGTATCAAATGTGAAATTATTTCCTGCTTTCTGATCTGCTGAAGATGTTAACACACTGGATTTTCTCTAGATGCCCACATTGGTGCATGCCAAGTTATCTGCCCTACTTTATATCTTAATAGCATTTTAAAAAAAATTCTAAAAAACTGGCATCAAAGACAAAGCTGCCAGTGTCCTTTTTTATTTCCAAGAATGGCTCTAGGCCCCAGACAAATCCCCTAAATTTGGGGCCAGTTGTAGTCCAATGCTTTGTTTGTAATTGTGTCATCTCCCCAGAAAAAATGGCAATGATAAAGCAGGGGATTAAAGGAGGGATGGCAGAAAGCATTCTAATAAATTGGTTATTTAACCAATATTTTTAACCAATATGCATGGTTGTCACTATGCAAGACCTTTCTCCCAGAAGCCATTTTGGAAGAGGTCTTAAAATTCTGACAATTCTGACTATGCCTACACAGGCCTGTCTCAACATGCTATTAAGAACACAGTATTCAATATGTGGTCAGATACAGAGGAATACATGTGCTCTTTTTATAACAGTGTTTAGCAGGAATTAGATTTCTACAGCATTCACATCAGACTAAATATGTATTTCTTGTGCTTTTATATTATAAGCCATTGCAAAAATTTCATCAAATATAAGTAGATAAAAGTAAAAACAACACACCAATGCTTGGTGGCTGCTATTATAGAATTGTTTCCCTTTAGATATTAAGTTAGCCCTGACACTGATGGTCCCTCCAGAAAGCAGTAAAACTGAGCTTTTCCCAAGTGCCATTCATACTGAAGTACATTTTCTATGTTGTTGGAAACTACTACCATAAGTTTTATCAGGGATCATTTCAGTGTAATTATATTAATATAATTTGGTTTTTTTTGATGTATTAGAGTATTGTTATGGATTTTACAAGTTAATTTTAATGTGGCAACTATCTAGTTGCCACTAACATTTAATTGTTTCACATTTTAGACTGTATTATGGATATTCATTCTTATTCTTGCTGGGAAATCCTTGTGAGGTCCAGCAGCTGGAATGTGTATTTAGCTGTGACAAAGTCATGTTGCCTGGGTGCACCACCAGGAGGCTAATCTTGCACTCCAGGACACTGCTGCCCAATGGTTAAACAATCTAAATATCTGGCCACAGGTTGAGTAATCCCAGTAACTGCTTGTACATAATTTAATTTTATTCATAATTTTATTCATCACTCGTGCTATGTGTTTTTAAAATGCTCTGATGTTTTATATTTTAATACACATTTTATATGCTGTTTTTGTAAATTTGTATGCATTAATGCTATATTCTGAAATAAAATAAATAAAATTCTATAGTTAAATGTAACTGTTTGATTTTGGAGAAACACAAATTGAAACCAAAAATAAAATAAAAGGGGTGTGTGTGTGTGTGTGTGTGTGTACACACACACACACACACATCTATATAAATAAAAATGTAAATGTTCGTTTGTTCAAAATCTTAAATCTCTGAAAGTTCTTCACCGATTGCTTTGAAATTTTGACAAAACATTGCATTCGAATACACGCGTGTATTTATATACCTACTATTATATAGATGTATAGATGTCACACCTGTGACAGGTAAAAACATGCTTTTTTGAAAAACAGCGCCATCTGTTGGACGTAAACGCAACACACGCTAGCATTGTGAAATTAAACATATTACAAACGTGCGCTTTCTCTTTTCTTTCTTTTCCATTTAACCAGACTGAGCCACAGCAATGCGTGGCCGGGTACAGCTAGTATTAAATATATGTATTTAAAAATACATACATACGTATATTGGCTATTTGATCATGATTGCATGGAAGGAACCAACTATCTTCCATTTTGCACAAACCTTGTATTCAATGAAATTTTGCATATTCATCATTGGTGAAAGTAACATTTTTCAAATAAGAATTATGGAGAGTAAATAGATATATTGGACCTGCATACTATTTACTATGTATGCACAACAAAGCTAATGAACAATGGAATCAAATGAATTTGCTTTCACAATCCAAATACAAAATATAATTATGTATTTAATTCATATTAAATATTATTTTATTTATAGTTATGAAATCAGAATTTTACCAGATTTGCCATGGCTTGTCTTTGATGTTCTCTAATGTCAGTAAATGAGAGACTTTAACAGAGGAAACAGCATCTCTAAGATCCATCTTATTTGCAAAGAACAGAACTGGTATTCGGCGGTGTTTAAGATCTAGAACATAATAATTTGTTAAATTGTCACCATATATATGAAAACTATTTTAAATAGAAACATACGTTGTTCATTGGTCAGTAACTTCTTTGAAATCTACAACTCTCAAGATGAAAGACTACTAGGAATATCTGTTTCTGGAAAAATCTCTAAATAATCCTCCAAACTCACATGTTTAAGCACAAAAACTATTGCAAATGAAAACACATTTCTAAATGCACCAACATATCCTGTTTATTCATGTAAAGAAATTTTAAAACTCATCTATCAAAAGAAAGCCAAAATATATGAGATTGATGTGCTTTTTTCTAAACAACAGTAAAGCAGCACACATAGACCAGAATAACTATTAAAGAATATTTGCCAACTGTGAAAAGCAAGGATTAATTGCTTAAAAAGGTATGTTAGGTTGGGAGCATGCAAACTATGTGGCACATTCACATTATGATTTATGTTACACTAAATAGGTACAGCAGTCAGCCTTAGAATGGACAATTAAGATACTGAAGTAGTGGATAGCCTCTGCCTTTCAGGATCAACTATTAACATTAAAGGAACCAGCTGCCAAGAAATACAGTCCAAACTAGTAGTAGGTAGGGTAGCAAAGCCATCTTAGAAAAGATACCCAGATGTTGCAATTTACAAAGATCAGAATTGTGCAGGCAATGGTTTTCCTGTGACCCTCTATGGCCGTGGTGGCGAACCTATGGCACGCGTGCCACAGGTGGCACGCAGAACCCTCTCTGTGGGCACATGCGCCGTCGCCCCAATCCTAGGCCTTCAACTGGGTTTTATAAAACCTTTTCACTTTAGGCCTCCACCGCCGTGTCCCCCCCAAAAAGGTTCAATCAATCAATCAATTTCAACTTCTCGCGGGAAAAGAAAATCTCGCAAAGTTGGAATTGATTGATTGAACTTTTTAGTCCCACCCAGTCTGCCGTTACCACCACAGCCACGCCCACCCAATGGGCCATGCCCACCCAATGGGCCATGCCCACCCAATGGGCCACACCCACCCGGCACCCGACGATGCATAAGTGGGTTTTGGGTTGCAGTTTGGACACTCGGTCTCTAAAAAGTTCGCCATCACTGCTCTATGGAAATGAGGATAGAAAATTCAGATTCTTTTGAACTTTGGTCTTGGGGTAGACTCATGAGAATGTCATACAAAACAGAGGGGCTTCCGGTGGCAGGCGACCTCGTCGGACACAGCTGTTTGCTGCCTCCCGCCTGTTTCAGCGTAAAAGCCGTTCTGACAGCTAGCATCAGCTGTCAAACGGCTTGTACCCTTCCCCTGGGCATAAGGGGATAGCTGAGCTGCCCGGGGTAGGAGTTGAGTTCCCGAGTCGTCCCATGTGGACGATGTAGGTGAGAACTCCTCCGGAGCCCCGAGGCTTCTCCGCGATTCAGGACGCCTTCGCTTCGGCGAAGCTAGAAGTCGCCGCCACTGCTGCAACTTAAATTGAACTGTGAGTTTTTTTTTTGTAAGCAGACGAACCGACCCTGGAAGTTTGCTTTTTATTTTGAACTTTGCTCTAACTTGGATAATAAGTTCTTCCCTATACTTGAGGTGGATTGAGGGAAAGTGAACTTAAAATGGCGACGGATTGATACTTTTCAGCAAGAAGTGAAAGTGATTTCCGGTTTGGAACTTTTGTTACTTTTAATCTGCGTATTATTTGTTCTGGCTGAATTGCTTATAAGACTCTTTTATAATTGGAAATCTACTGCTAATATGGCTTTGAGAAAAATCGTGCCTTCAACTTTTAAATCAACTACATCTTTGATGTTCCAGCCACTCCAATTAACTTCTAAAATCTCCCACCCGCCACCCCCGCTATCTTTTTCACCTCCACCGCCCTCTGGTAGAGAGTTGCAGGACTTGATGTCTGTAATTACTAAACAAATGACTGAGATGGTTCAAGCGTTGGATGTTAAAATGCAAAATAGATTTGACCAATTAACACAACAACAACAGGACTTATTACAACAACAACAAGACTTATTACAGAAACATGAGGGCTTTTGTTTGAATGTGACAACTGCTTTTCAAGGTTTGGCTGAATATGTAGATGCGGTGGCAGAAAGGGGGGAGGGAAACGAACAAAGAGCAGATGCAAGTGACTACAGACTTGAAATTGTAGAGGAGAGTCTGGAAAATGTTNTTGCTAATAAAAACAACTAAATAAAACAAGACACTTCTGCAAATTGTTTAGGATTACCAGCAACCTGGTTTGTTTCTGTCTTAAAAGACCAGAACCAAAGGCCATGATTTATTCTTACCTTTTGATTCTGGCTTGTTAGGAAATGAACAAGTCAGAATTTCTGGTTTTCATGTAATTCTCAAAAAAAAGGTTGGTCCTTCTAGCAGTAGAAGCCAGGTTGAAATGATGGGCAGTGTGCATTAGCAAGCTCTTTGTTCCAAGGATACAGTAATTCAGATAAAGTCAAGGATTTGGAAGAAAAAAAATCCTATTTACATTAAAATTCAGGTTTTTGTAAACAACAACAATGATAATAATCTGTATTAATACAAGTAGACAGTAGATAATGTCTAATTAAATGACTGGCAAATTTGTTCCATGATACCACTTCATCATCCATTCATGTACCATGATGCATTGAACAATTCATGCAATTACAACAGTTGTACAAAGTGGGAAATGTAGTAAGTCTGAGAAAGCTCAGTTGAAGGTGCTCTAGTGCAGGGGTGTCAAAGTGCCGGCTCACGGGCCGGTTGCATCATGCGGAGGCTGCGCCCACCCCAGCTCTGGCAATGTGAAAAAAGTCACGATACGTCGTGAACGTCACGTGACACGGCGAGTTTGACATCTGTGGTCTAGTGCAATAGACAATATTAAAAAAAAATCTCAAAAACTAACTTGAATGCCAAATTGCAATATATACTGTAGTCAGTGCTTTTTTTCTAAAAAAAAAAAAAAGGTGCCGGAACTCACACACATCATACAACCCGCCTTGCCTACCCTACAAGGTTCCATTCAAAAAAGGTGCCAGAACTCCGTTCTGGGCATTCTATGAGAAAAAAAGCCCTGACTGTAGTACAGGAGTTGTAAAACAGCATTTTTACATTTCCACTCCACAGCAGCCCTCTCTGTCCCCAAAGCAGGAGACAGTCACATTCAATATGTGGTGTGCTGCAAGAGTGTAACAGGAGCTATTCGTAAAAATGAGGTAGGCATTTACCTCACTGAAATTCTGCTTACAGAAATTTAAATCCAAGCTATTAAGAGCCTTTAAAAAGCAGTATGGTATTTGCTAAATCTGTAAGCTTAACTACTATAAAATCAGTTTAAAAGACAATTCTGTATTTATGCACTCATACATTTACAGAGCTCAGTGTGATTTACTCTCAGTAAGTATGAGAGTATAGCGTCAATCTATATAAATAAAAATGTAAATGTTCGTTTGTTCAAAATCTTAAATCTCCGAAAGTTCTTCACCGATTGCTTTGAAATTTTGACACAACGTTGCATTCGAATATGCGCGTGTTTTTATATAACTACTATTATATAGATGTCACACCTGAAATTAAACATATTAGAAATGTGCGCTTTCTCTTTTCTTTCTTTTCCATTTAACCAGACTGAGCCACAGCAACGCGTGGCCGGGTACAGCTAGTATACTTTAAAAACAAAAATAGCAACTTCATTTGAAATTGCAATGGGGTGATGCTTTAAAGTTTCTGTATTTGGAATCTTTCAAAATAAATAAATAAATAAATAAATAAATAAATAAATAAATAAATAAATAAATAAATAAATAAATAAATAAATAAATAAATAAATAAATAAATAAATAAATAAATAAAGAAAGAAAGAAAGAAAGAAAGAAAGAAATAGTGTGGAATAGAAGCTTAGATGCTTAATGTAGCAGCTTTTAATCTAATTTTTGCACAATGAATTAAGCAGTAAACTGTAGTGTTTCCAAGATGTGAAATGTTTAAATACCGGAGAAAGGAGACATAACTCAATTCATTAACCAGCATATCAATCCATAATATATCAATAATTTTATATTATTTCATGTAACTATTCAAGGAAAGAATTTTAATTCATGTTACATAAAATTAATTGCATAGGTACTCAAACATTCTTAATACAAGAAGAACCAATATCTTCTATCTTAATTTGGCCATTAATTTATTCTACATATTCAACAATTAAGGAGCTATAACTGTATTAAGTATAAGGTCCAAGCTGTGCAACTTGTAGCCCTCCAAAAATTAATGGGTTGCAATTCCTGTAAGTTGCTTTACAGCTAGCCCTTGACTTACAATGACAATTGGGTCTAGAATTTTAGTTGTTCTTTGATGTGGTCATAAAGCATGACAGCATCACTTAGTGAGGGCAATCCCTGCAGTGCCAATTGTCATGGTTAACTGAATCCCAAAGACCAGTGGAGAAGCCAGGAGGAATTTACAAGTCCCAGGCCAGCAGGCAGGTAAATGGCTGCTGCCAGTGGGGGAAAGAATAAGTGGATGCAGGGGCTGGGTTAGGGAGCGTTTGTGAGGTTGCATGAGAGGAAGGGGGCATGGAGTATGTGAAAAGCAGCACATAGTTTGGGAAGGATGCACAGGGATGTGTAAGGGGTGCCATGTGGGTTGGGGAGGGCGCATGGAGGAGTGGCATAAGTCAAGAAAGGTGTGCAAGAGTGCACTGACTTTCTGGGAAAACCAACAGGGAAGATTGCAAATGGCGATCACATAATTACAAGGGTTAGGGTTAGGGTGAATGAATTACCAAGTGCCCAGATCGTGATCATGTGACCATGGGGGCAGTGCAATGGCCATAACTTTGGGGACCAGTCATGAGTCCTTTTGTTCAGTATTGTAATTGATGAATTAATAGTCATAAATCAAGGACTATGTGTGCAGCCAGGACTGCTAGAAAATAGTAATTTAATTTGGGCATTTTAAAGGGTGAATGACTTAAAAGGTATTAAAACTATCTAAAAGGTAATATTTGCTGCTATAGCAATAATTTTCACAGGAATAGATAATTAACATATTTCATATAGTACCTAATTATTTTCAGGTTTGAGGTTTTTATACAGTTTATTATATATATTTATATTATTCCAATTAATTCATTCCTTCCCTTTGGTTCACGCTTGAGAATACTGCAGACAAGTCTAAGAAAAACTGAATTATAATTTTACTGTGCAACTATTTTAACCAATATTTTATTTTAACTATTAACTATGTTCATAAATTTAATAGAGGAATGCACAACTAAGTCTTAGTGTTAAAAATGGACTTACTTGTAATAATGTTCCCAGAGATTTCTGTATCTACCTTGACCTGACATATCAAACACAGTGAATGATAAACTGTAAAGAAACAATAAAATAGAGCATTAGATCTATGACACATTCTGGATTGCAATATTGTATAAATTATATTGTGCTAATTCAGTGTAATAATAACTTTCTGACTAGTACACATTTTTTAAAAAATTAACATTCAATTTAATATGATGCATGAGTTTTATTGACAAGTGTCAATCTAAATTTAGAATATAGTTTTATACAAAGAAATAAGCCATATTAAACAGAGAAGAACTTAATTGGATCTTCACACTGCTGTCTTACTCAGTGCTGGGCCCCTCTAAATATAAAGAAAACTATTGCTCATTATTGTTGGAATATAGCATAAGTCACTCCATCTTGTAACCTTCAGTATGCTTAATTCTACACTTCTTCATGCCTACGTGTTAGGCTGCAATCTGCAGCTGCAAACACGTAAGGACAGACAACTAAGAAGCAAGTCAACAAAGCTGTCTACACAAGCTATAATATTATCACTTCCTGATAAGACCTTCCAGTGTGAANGCCCTTCTCCTCTCCGCGACTTCCTTTCTAGCAATACTCGATGGTGTTGTGTTAGAGCGCCACCTAGTGCCAGTATATGCTCTCCTCCCCTGCACTCAGGCTTCAGCTCCAGGCAGCATTCGCTCCATAAGACGCACAGACATTTCCCCCCACCTTTTGGGGGAGAAAAAGTGCGTCTTATAGAGCGAAAAATACGGTAAGCAGTAAACTCTAGTGTTTCCAAGATGTGAAATGTTTAAATACCGGAAAAAGGAGACATAACTCAATTCATTAACCAGCATATCAATCCATAATATATCAATAATTTTATATTATTTCATGTAACTATTCAAGGAAAGAATTTTAATTCATGTTACATAAAATTAATTGCATAGGTACTCAAACATTCTTAATACAAGAAGAACCAATATCTTCTATCTTAATTTGGCCATTAATTTATTCTACATATTCAACAATTAAGGAGCTATAACTGTATTAAGTATAAGGTCCAAGCTGTGCAACTTGTAGCCCTCCAAAAATTAATGGGTTGCAATTCCTGTAAGTTGCTTTACAGCTAGCCCTTGACTTACAATGACAATTGGGTCTAGAATTTTAGTTGTTCTGTGATGTGGTCATAAAGCATGACAGCATCACTTAGTGATGGCAATCCCTGCAGTGCCAATTGTCATGGTTAACTGAATCCCAAAGACCAGTGGAGAAGCCAGGAGGAATTTACAAGTCCCAGGCCAGCAGGCAGATAAATGGCTGCTGCCAGTGGGGGAAAGAATAAGTGGATGCAGGGGTTGGGTTAGGGAGCATTTGTGAGGTTGCATGAGAGGAAGGGGGCATGGAGTATGTGAAAACAGCACATAGTTTGGGAAGGATGCACAGGGATGTGTGAGGGGTGCCATGTGGGTTGGGGAGGGTGCATGGAGGAGTGGCATAAGTCAAGAAAGGTATACAAGAGTGCACTGACTTTTTGGGAAAACCAACAGGGAAGATTGCAAATGGCGATCACATAATTACAAGGGTTAGGGTGAGGGTGAATGAATTACCAAGTGCCCAGATCGTGATCATGTGACCATGGGGGCAGTGCAATGGCCATAACTTTGGGGACCAGTCGTGAGTCCTTTTGTTCAGTATTGTAATTGATGAATTAATAGTCATAAATCAAGGACTATGTGTGCAGCCAGGACTGCTAGAAAATAGGAATTTAATTGGGCATTTTAAAGGGTGAATGACTTAAAAGGTATTAAAACTATCTAAAAGGTAATATTTGCTGCTATAGCAATAATTTTCACAGGAATAGATAATTAACATCTTTCATGTAGTACCTAATTATTTTCAGGTTTGAGGTTTTTATACAGTTTATTATATATATTTATATTATTCCAATTAATTCATCATTCCTTCCCTTTGGTTCACGCTTGAGAATACTGCAGACAAGTCTAAGAAAAACTGAATTATAATTTTACTGTGCAACTATTTTAACCAATATTTTATTTTAACTATTAACTATTTTAACTATGTTCATAAATTTAATAGAGGAATGCACAACTAAGTCTTAGTGTTAAAAATGGACTTACTTGTAATAATGTTCCCAGAGATTTCTGTATCTACCTTGACCTGACATATCAAACACAGTGAATGATAAACTGTAAAGAAACAATAAAATAGAGCATTAGATCTATGACACATTCTGGATTGCAATATTGTATAAATTATATTGTGCTAATTCAGTGTAATAATAACTTTCTGACTAGTACACATTTTTTTAAAAATTAACATTCAATTTAATATGATGCATGAGTTTTATTGACAAGTGTCAATCTAAATTTAGAATATAGTTTTATACAAAGAAATAAGCCATATTAAACAGAGAAGAACTTAATTGGATCTTCACACTGCTGTCTTACTCAGTGCTGGGCCCTTCTAAATATAAAGAAAACTATTGCTTATTATTCTCTTTTATTTTCCTCCACGCTCCCAAAATTTGCCCTGAAGAACATCTACCTCTGTAAACTGGTTAAACTGCAGTCCAATATATGGTTATATAGCGTTGCTTCTAATTTGAAATGTACAGGATCTAATTCCAGATTTCTAAGCTGCTTGAATAGAATTCATCTTTTTTTTAAAAAAGACATGTTGCCAGATGACAATTTTATACAACCCTTAACCAGTGCTTTTTTTGTAAAAAAAAAAAAAAAAAAAAAAAGGTGCTGGAACTCACACATGTCATATAACCCGCCTTGCCTATCCTACAAGGTTCCATCCAAAAAAGGTGCCGGAACTCCGTTCTGGGCATTCTATGACAAAAAAGCCCTGCCCTTAACTATTAAAAGCTAGTCAGTAGCTTTAACAGTCAATTATCATATGGTCAGGAAGATGAGCCCAGCTGTAAAGTATTTTTCTGATTTACTGGCAATGTCTATAACAGAAAAAAATGGGAGTGTTTTGCTTGTAAGAAAGCAAGAAAGTTAGCCTTCATTTATCCAACATTGCCTATTAAACTATGAGAATAGTGCTAGAAATGGAAGAAGCAAGGTGGGTCTGCCTAAGAACATCTAAACAAAATAGTCACATGATTTCTCTCCATTTTAGTTTCTCTAAAATGATCTCAACATGTCTTGAATCCAAAATCTTATTCAAGAAGCAAGTAACTAGTTTAGGTAGATACTGTATCTGAAAATGTGTGTATCAAAGCTGTGTTCCATTTTTCCAATAACCTTTCCTTCCTATAAATTTGGGTTCATTGATTGAAACTTTCTTCACAGGCGAGATGCACAATTCAGAGTTACTTATGTGGTTCAGGACATAACATTTTCAGAATGAAAATATGACAATTTAAATGTTACATCTAAAACATTTTCTTTAAAGATTTAATGCATAATTATATATAATATAAAGATATAATATATTAGAATAAAAGCATATTACCTTGATGTTTTGAATTTCTCTATACTGAATCCTATTGTAGGAACAATATCTTGAGCTTGAGCCTGTGCAAAAAAAAAATTGAGTTAAAAACAAATTGTTATTTTAATATTTAAAATCAGTAATATATATTCTCTCTTAATTGAAATAATAGTGTATTGAAGCTGTAATAAAATTATATTCTCAAAACGTATAACAAGTAATGATATTAACACTTATAAAAGAATACATATATTTTTGAATAAAAAAGAAATATTTATCATTTAAGTTTGCCCCTAATTTTTACTCTGCATAATGGTGGCTCTGCAGGTTTTTTTTTAATCTGATTTTATTCAGTCCACTAATATATATGCTACTTACATTTAGTTTTACTTCATGTATTAGTACTCAACAAGGTGGTGTAGTTATTCCTGTTATCTTATAATGTGAGTTGTTCAGGTGCTATATTAATTAGGATGAGCCCCTTATTGGTTATGTTTTGTATACATCTTTATGTGTTGTTTGCCCCCATCTTTTTTGTCCCCACCTTTTTTCATTATTATATATTGCTTTTTTATTGTGTTTTACTGTGCACTGTCAACAATTGATTTGGAGTTAGGTGTTGTGGAAATCCAATCTATATAAATAAAAATGTAAATGTTCGTTTGTTCAAAATCTTAAATCTCCGAAAGTTCTTCACCGATTGCTTTGAAATTTTGACACAACGTTGCATTCGAATACGCGCATGTTTTTATATACCTATATTATATAGATGTCACACCTGTGACAGGTAAAAACATGCTTTTTTTGAAAAACAGCGCCATCTGTTGGACGTAAAAGCAACACATGCTTTTACCAGACTGAGCCACAGCAACGCGTGGCTGGGTACAGCTAGTAAATAAATACGTTTCTTTCAAGCCTAAATATTTGCCTATAACTTCTGTAGCAGGTATTCATCAGGATTGACACTGATGTTTATCTTATGATAATTCAGTTAAAACATTCAATGTTACTCATCAACATTGTAGATGTGGATCCAATATTTAATGTACACTTTCTGTGTTCCTCAAAAAACTACATGGATTAGGTCTGTTCATGCAATCTACCGGTAAGTATATTGTGGAATCTCCTAACTTTTGAGAAACACATAGAGAATGAATGATGTACCAGTTAAGAAAGATAAAAATATTTATGATCTATTTATGAATCATTTCTTAACTGGAAGATGAATTACTCGTAAGAAACAATGCAATGTTTAGGAACCAGTAAATCTCAACTTTTTTTGTGTATTTTGCATTTAAATACAGTACATGTATACCGTCTATGTTTTTGGTAGTTATAAAATTGTCTCTTTAACAAGTCAGTCATTATTTATAATGATATTAATCATCTGAACGCTTTCATGACTTAAATATTTTTACAGAGATATAATCAAACAAGGCATTGCTCATTTAAATCGAAAAAATATTATAGAGGTGATTTATTTATTGTATTTTAAGCTACAGAAAAAGAAAATACTCTGGATTAATTACACAGAAAAGTAAAAACATAAAATTCCACAATAATCAGGATGTAAAGCACAATATATATTGTACAAATATAATCACTTTAACCCAAAGCATTACAATTCTTTATAAAACATAAGACTGAAATCCTAGACTGAAAATAAGAAAATAAGATTTCGGATATCAAGGGGGGGAAAAAAAAGCTTACAAGCACATACTACATTATATATATATACACGTGTGTCCTCAATATTCATTGGGATTTCATTCTACCCTATAATTACGGATAATAAAACTGCAGATAATGAGGCCTGGAATCTATAGGGATTAGGGAAGACCAGTGACTGATTGGAAGTTTGGGGGGTATATTGTGAAAAAAGTCAGGGATGAATGACCTGGTGGGAAAGAAAAAAGCACTACAAAGACTGGCAACTGTGCATGGGAAAATAAGGTGGGAGTGCTGATGAGAGGTGAGTGGGAAGTACTGAAAAGATATAAGAAAATATAGACTGAGCAGATTGATAAGATTGGCAGCAGAAATGGGAAAATGTATTTGAGGCCTAATGAGTACTTTTACAAATATACAAAATGGCAGACAGATAAGAATCACATCCTCAAACCCACAAATATGCCAAAACCTTTACTATAATTAGTTCTGGTTCATATATATCAACTGCAAATACATAAAACTGCAAACAGGGAGTCCTTGACTTATAGCAGATCATTTAGTGACTGTTCAAAGTTATAACGACACTGAAAAAAGTGACTTAGGACCATTTTTCACACTTATGACCATCGCAGCATTCCCATGATCATGTGATTTACATTCAGATACTTGACAACTGGTTCATATTTATGACGGTTGCAGTGTCCTGGGATCATGTAATTATCATTTGTGACTTTCTGACTAGGAAAGCCAGGTTCACTTAACTGTGTTACTAATTCAACAACTGCAGTGATTCACTTAACAAATGTGGCAAGAAAAGTCATAAAATGGGCAAAACTCACTTAATAAAGTTCTCACCAGCAACATAAATTCTGGGCTCAATTGTGATTAAGTTGAGGACTACATGTATAATGAGGGCCCCATGTATGTACAGTAAATAGCATTAACTTGCTTTACTATGTAACACTAGTTTAAAATTCATAAAACCTCTAATGGGCCAAGGCAAAACTGACATATTAGTTCTTAATGGTTCACTGTTAATACTATTTCTTTTATCATCTTCCTTAGAGGATAAATTAAAGAAGTAGCCAATATTAACAGTGAACCAATGAGTTTGAGATCATTTAACAGAATAACAAAGTTGGAAGGGACCTCGGAAGTCTTCTAGTCCAACCCCCTGCTCAAGCAGGAGACCCTACACTATTTCAGCCAAATAGCTGTCCAATCTCTTCTTAAAAATCTCCCAGTGTTGGAGCACCCACAACTTCTGAAGGCAAGCCTTTCCACCAATTAATTGTTCTGTCAGGAATTTTTTCCTTAGTTCTAGGTTGCTTCTCTCTCTGTTCAGTTTCCATCCATGGCTTCTGTCTTGCTTCCGGGTGCTTTGGAAAAATAAATTGACCCCCTCTTCTTTGTGGCAGCTCCTCAAATATTGGAACACTGCTATCATGTCCCCCCTAGTCCTTCTTTTGGTTAACAAATCCAATTCCTACAACCGTTCTTCCTATGGTTTAGCCTTCAACCCTCCAATCATCTTTGTTGCTCTTCTGTGCACTCTTTTTAGAGTCTTACCGTATTTGCACCATATGCTTGGCCAGGTTAGGGAAATCTCTGCCAGGGCATTTGCTCAAGTGCCAAGCAGGTAGGGTTCCTTCTTTATTTAGTCATTTGGGCAGTATTTTGTTTTTCCTCCAAAGATTGGAGAGGTTTTGTGACTGTAGCATTCTGGCCTCCAGTTTTATTCCTGCAATTGCCAGCTATCTCCAATTGGACTGAGAAAGAGGGACTGGTACAAACCCACCAAGGAAATGTGCATGAAGTAGGTGGGTTTGGGGATGGGGGTCCCTAAGTTAATGGGGGAAGAGAATAGAAAAGTCAAGATGGCAGCCATAATCACACAATGGAAACTCTGTCTTTCTTCCATGAGTTGCAGTGCATATAAAAATGGGTAGGGTTTTTAATTGAATGGGAAGGTTTTGAGTGTTATGGAGGGAGGGGGCTGAGTGAGTTGGGGAATACATTCCATTTACTTAATTTATGATTCAATTCAAACAATTAAGTACAATTAAGTTACCTGGCTATGAATTAAAGTATCATAATCATAGTAATTAATACTTTCACAATGTTCCCTTTTGAATTCTACTGTATATTGAACTACATTATTTTATTTCATTAGATTAAATTTACAGTACAACAAATATTTAATTTTTAAGTCCTGAGTTACAAATCTAAACACAATTCCTATTTAGCATTTATTTTTGGAAAGATAAACCATATTAACATTAAACATTTACTTGCTATTTACTCCTTCTCAAAAGAGTAAATTTCGTCTTGAAATTAAATATTGCAATGATTAAACATTCCATGTTTCCACAAATATCTCCAGTGATAAATGTCAGCTTTTCAACAATATAAACCAAATTGGTAGTAAACTAAAAATGTCTACTTACATTATATGGTTTTAACTTGTTGATAATTGTTGTTTTACCACTGTTGTCTAATCCAAGGCACAGAACATGAACTTCTTTCTTTTTCAGACCAAGCCAACTTGCCAGTTTATCAAATAATCCCATAATTTTGATTGAATGGCACAATTTGGTGTTTCTGAAGGCGATAGATAGATAGATAGATAGATAGATAGATAGATAGATAGATAGATAGATAGATAGATAGATAGATAGAGATTTAAAAGTTGAAATTACTATAGATGAAGGCAAAGGTTCTAAGACAATTAAATCAGAAGCATCTTAGAGAAGAAATAATTGCAAATCATGTCACAGCAGGTTGGGTAGCCTAAGGAACAAGTAGATAAGCTGCTTATTTGGAAAGTCTTCTGGTCAAAACAGGCTAGGTACTTATCTTCCTGTTAAAGCACAATATCTTTCTGTCAATGGATAAATGTGATTTTACAATTCTTAAAGCATTGTGCAATGAGGTTAGTGAAGTAGATCTATGATTATTGTTTTACAGTTTAACCAAAATCAGAACATTCTGTACAGTGCACTATTAAAAATATTCAAGGACCAAGAAGTGAACCCAGTAATTATATCATACCCGCAAAGAAGAGTTTCATGCCTAATTAAAAAGGAGGTGAGTTCTACATTACAATATCTATTATCAGTAGTTTAGCTTTATAAAAACCTTTGCATCTTTAAATATAGTGGGACTACAGGGGCCTTTGGATACAACTGGATAATATTTTCAGCCAGACGTGGCAAACATGGAAAAATCACATTTATAACACTACACAAAGAAAATACACTTCGTCTGCTTCTTCTGAGTAGGCAAACAGATTTCCAAATAAAACATTAAGCTGAAATCAATGAGTTTTTTTTCCACTCAGCGTTCCTTTAAAAAGGTCTAGATGCCTTATTGGAAATGTGGATTATGCCTGAATGTATCTTCATGCTAATTTGCCATTTCTTCTTTTACATGACATTTACAAATAATCAGGCAAGACAGGTATTTAAGGATGTAGCATCCCACCCCCCCAAGCTGTAAATAAACTTTTCTGGTTCGCTTTTCTGGTTCCACCCAGATCTAGCAGAATTTTTAAAGGGTAATCCAGAGGAATATTTCCCACACTGGTGCTTTTGCTTTTCAAATAGATAAGACTCCAAGTCCAGAATTCCTTCCTAGAGAACGAGGCGCCTTTAAATCCTACGCATCTGGGGAGCCGCTTTAAGAATGGCATGGTTAAACCCGGATTTAAAATCCTTGCTTTTGCCACGAAGCTGGCTGGGTTAGCGTGAGTCGATCACGCTCTTTCGGATAGCTGTGCTAATCCCCTCTCCCAGGATTCGTCCAAAGGGAAAGCTATGAAATCCAGGTGACCTGGAATCTTGCAGAGAAAGGCTACATAACTTTAAATTAAAAGTACAAGAGAAGCACTTAACCCGACGCACTCACCCCCCCCCTTTTTTTTTTTTTAAAAAGGAGCAGGAATCCGCGCCGCTATTAGACTCACCAAAGAAAAAGCAACCAACCGCAGCTGTCCGTCGGGCCTTGAAAGAGCAAGAACCCGCTTCTCTTCTCCCCCCTCCCCACACTTCCCCGACGCCTACGTCGTTACCTCGGAAACAACCGTTCTGTAAGGCACGCCCTCCTCGAGGCGGAGCGTTATTTTCCATTCCAGGGTGGGGGTGAAGTTTTGCTAGTTCTCTGCTGGGTGAAGAGTCGCTATTGCGTCAGGGGTTCTCAACCTTGGCAACTTTAAGACTTGTGGACTTCAACTCCCAGAATTCCTCAGCCAGCTTTGCTGGCTGAGGAATTCTGGGAGTTGAAGTCCACAAGTCTTAAAGTTGCCAAGGTTGAGAACCCCTGGAATAGAAAAAGCGGCGCCGATCCGCCATAGAAGCGCTCACCTTTTGCCCTGACTCTTTTCGTGACGAGGAATCCAGAAGTAGCAAGAGACGGGTTCAGGGTTTGAATAGAGCGGCGACGAAAGACGTGCTTTGGGAAGGAACAGTAATCCGGATGGACTCCGCCCTCCACGTTTGGGGTTTCGTCAATGTCTTCTTTAAATTAAACATTTAAAAGCTCAATATATCTGCATATTGAGGTGGGGGTTGGATCTTGAGAGGGGTATAATATGTGTCAGAGATCTGATTGAGAAAGACGACTGCCTGTTAACGTATAAAGGCACCCTGGAAACGCAAATTAACCTCACCCGCCCTATTAATTCGAAGTATTAACCTACTAAATTATATTGCGCGCCGATTTACAGCACCTCCCCTTCCTGCTGTATATTGTTGTTGTTAGTTGCGAAGTCGTGTCCGACCCATCGCGACCCCATGGACAATGTTCCTCCAGGCCTTCCTGTCCTCTACCATCTTAAGCTCCCGCCTACTGCTTCAATGACTCCATCCTAATGTAGTAAAATGAACAATTACTAGACTAATGATTTGTCTGCATAATTGCTAGAATAATGATGTAATGCATAATC